CTCCTCAATCAATTGGTTTTTTTAATTCAATGAGAGCAAGTTTAAGGCGACATAAGATTTATTCGTTTTCGCAAATTATAAGAATTATTAAAAGTTAGATCCTCTCCTTCGCTCCAGTAAGATTTTTGGTTCTCAACGTTTTTTCTGTCCAGATTATTTCAAGATTCATCTCAAAGTTACCGTTTATCATCAAAAAATTGAATGCATTTTTACCTTTTTTTTTGCAACAGAACCATGTTAGGTAACGAACCTCTTTTTTATTTTTCTCATGAAATTTGAAATAGATTCTGTCCCGATGCTGACTCTATCATTGCCATCAAAACCGCCCACGTCAGGGCAGACATCCCACAACAAATCGCCAACTCCTAATTTTGGCAGTTCGGCTAAATTAAACAATTCATATGTGTGCTTGATGATTAATTTTTCGAATTTCCTATACCAGACTTGCCAAAACAAACAAAACCTTTGTGAAAAGGGATACTATTCAGATCAAACACCTGATGATCCCACACTTTCGAAACAGTTGTATAAACACAAAATTATTCACTTTAAAAGTTGAGGTAGCCAAAGTGAATTATCAAATCCTTTCACACTTTGCAATCATGCAATATTCAGTCTACTCATCGGTTGTCTTTTTAGCTGTTCTTGTTGCTGGCGCTGAAATGTGCGCAGATGTCAATGCCAAGTAATAAAAATTAAATTTAGTATTTTAAAATAATAAAAAAAATTTTTAGCTGTCCGAGCTGGGTTGCCAATGGATTCTGCACATCAAACTTCTACACCTCCTCCCAGAAAACCCAGTACTGTCCCGCATCTTGCGGTCTTTGTTCTGGAGTCAGCAGCACTGTCGCTTCTTCTACCTCGGCTTCTGGAGTATGTATCGACACTTCTGCCGGTTGTGCTACCTGGGAATCCAATGGATTCTGTTCTTCCACGTTCTACACCACTCAACAAAAGAAACAATTTTGCGCTGTGACTTGCAATTTGTGTGAATCTGACACCGTGACTACACAGGCAACTATTACTACCACTACCGCATAATTTTTTGAAACTGCTCATGTTTTGCCAATGATAGTTTTCTGTTGGTAAACTTACACTCTTATAATGAAAGAATTCAATTTACCTGAATGTGTTACTTTATATGAATGATTAAATTTTGAAATGTTTGTTGATATCGTAGTTATCACGCATCTGCTTGGTAAGATTCCAGTTTTGAAAAAAATGTAAAAGCTTCAATATTTTTGTGAAGGCGGAACAACCCAGAAGATTTTCTCTAAGGGTGAATTCGTAAATTTTTTTTAATACTTAAAAAAAATGAGCAACCCGGAATTTGACGAACATCGTTGATATGGTTTTTAATGTTATCTGTTACGACAAGAGTCGTATAAATAATAATAATTGCATGACCTAGTGACCTAGTTTCTATGTAACCCCCTTCATGCCACGTGGCTCTTTGCCACGTGCACTTCCTGTCTCTTGTCTTGTTTTCAGCTAATCGGGACTTCCCTGGTCACCCTGTCTTCTATCTAAACCTTGTCCCCGTCTTCATATTCCTATAATATTCTCTAATAATTTCCGGCTATAATAAATCTTCTAAATATATAACACTGGCGATCAGTATCTGAAAATGAAAAAAAGTCACTCCAAGAATTCATGCGGCTTCAAAGAGAATTGATGACTCAACAGCAAAACGCATTCATGGAGATCATCACCAAACTGGAAAAGAAGGAGGAAACCAAGGACAACACCGCCGTCGTCAACTCCCTCAATGCTCGAATCACTCCATTCGCCTACAACACAGATGAAGGAGAAACTTTTGACCGATGGTACTCAAGGTATGAAGACATTATTAAGAAAGATGGTGCTGCGCTGGAAGATGAAGAAATGGCCCGCTTCATCGTGTCAAAATTGGAGAGGAAGGAATCCGAGCAATTCCGAAACCACCTGCTGCCAAAATCCCCATCAGAAGTGAAACTCGAGGACACCATCAAGACACTAAAAAAACTCTTCAATGAATCCAAATCCATCACCAGAATGAGGTATGAACTTTTGACGGTTAAATTTGACGGAGTAGACCGGAAGGAATACACTGGAAACATCAAAAGATTGTTCAACGTGGCACAGTGGAAAGAGATGTCGGAAGATCAAGCACAGTGTCTCCTTTGGACCATTGGACTACAATCCAGCCAACACACCGAAACCCGACTTCGTGCTCTTCGTGAAATGGAAGCCAATCCAAAGATCACTCTGACTGAACTGGCCGATCGACTAGACCACGTCATCGCAATGAAAGCCGACGCCGACTTCATTGGAGGAGCCAAATCCAGTGTTAACTTCATCAAGAACAAGAAGCCACATGTCCAGCAACCGTTCAAACCGAAACCGTCCAACCAAAATCCTCAGAAGTCAGATGACAAAAAGAAGCCACCACCAACACCATGCTGTTATTGTGGAGATATGCATTGGAATCGTGATTGTAAGCAGAAGAAGTCGCTCGTCTGCCACCAATGCCATAAAACCGGTCATGTTGCCAAAATGTGTCGTCAGAAGAATTCCCAATCCAACAACGCAGTTTTCATTGCCGAATCATCTGCTGGAGCCAAGAATCGCATCTACACTGAAGTCTTAATTGATGGAACACCGATCCGTATGGTCTTGGACACTGGAGCCGAAGTCACTCTTCTCAACAAATCGGATTGGGTCAAGATGAACAAGCCGACGCTGTCACCGCCAACACTCAACCTCCGTACTGCGACCAAAAAACCAATCGACGTCAAGGGACAGTTCCAGTGCAAATTCGTGCTCAATGGTCAAAATGGTTCGGGATCATGCCACGTCACCGACACTGCATCACTTCTTGGTATGGATTGGATATCTCAGATAAGTCACTTTTTGAACATTTGGTTCGCGGATCCATCAATGCTGTCAAGTCTTCCGAAGCTTCAGAAGTCATGGCTAAGCACCGTATCCAACTCCAGAAGCGTCTCGAGACCGAGTTCCCAGAAGTGTTCAAAGCAGGACTTGGAAGATGCACAAAGACCAAAGCTCAACTCCACTTGAAGCCGGATGCCAAGCCGACATTCCGGAAAGCCAGACCAGTTCCAATCGCAGTTCTTCCAAAAGTGAGTCAAGAGATAAATCGTCTAGTCGAAGAAGGTGTCATCACTCCCACAAACTACTCCGATTTTGCTGCTCCGATCGTTGTCGTGCAGAAGAAGGATGGTTCGATTCGGATGTGCGCCGACTACTCCACTGGCTTGAACGATTTGCTACAGATGCACCAACATCCACTTCCAACGGCCGAAGATGTCTACTCGAAGCTGAACGGTGGCAACTACTTCACTCAAGTCGATCTGGCCGAAGCATATCTGCAAATTGAAATGGAAGAAGAGTCAAAGAAAATGCTGACGATCAACACTCACCTTGGAATGTTCCAGTACAACCGCATGGCATTCGGAGTCAAGACAGCACCAGCGATGTTCCAACAGATTGTCGACACAATGATCACAGGACTGGAAGGAGTCTCTGCATACATGGATGACATCATCATCACCGGAGCAACGATCGACGAGCACAACGACCGCCTCCGCCAGCTCTTCCGAAGAATCGAGGAATATGGTTTCCGTGTCAGATCCACCAAATGTTCCTTCTTGCAATCCCAAATCCGGTTCCTTGGATTCATTGTTGATCGATTCGGACGTCGCCCAGATCCAGCCAAAATCGAAGCCATCTGCCAAATGCCAGCTCCAACCGACGTCTCCAAGTTGCGATCACTGCTCGGGATGGTTCAGTTTTATGGTTCTTTTGTGAAGGATCTACACAACTATCGTGCTGCACTTGATGAGCTGACCAAGAAGGACGCTGAATTCGAATGGACCACTGCCTGCCAAGCCTCATTTGACAAGATTCGCGACATCCTCAAATCAGACCTTCTGCTCACACACTACGATCCAAAATTGCCAATTGTCGTCGCCGCAGATGCCTCCAACTACGATATTGGCGCCGTCATCACCCATCGTTTCCCAGACGGATCCGAAAAAGCAATCTTCCATGCAAGCCGCACATTGACAACTGCTCAACGAGGATATGCTCAAATCGAGAAGGAAGCGCTCGGATTGATCTTCGCTGTCGAGAAGTTTCATCGGTACCTCCATGGCAGGGAATTCACTCTTCTGACGGACCACAAGCCTCTTCTAGCCATCTTCGGATCAAAGAAAGGTATCCCAGTGTATTCCTCCAGCCGACTTCAACGATGGGCAACGATCCTTCTCAACTACGACTTCAAAATCGAGTACCGCAACACCTCCTCATTTGGCCAAGCAGATGCCCTTTCGAGATTGATCGAGGTGAACAAACAGAATCTGGAAGAAGAAGATCGTGTAATTGCTGCAGTGGAAGCAGAAGTGGACGCCGAGCACCACGGAATCACCCGACACTTACCAATCACTGCGGCGAATATCGGGAAGGCGACTCAATCCGATCCAATCACTGCTGCTGTCATCCAATATGTACAACAAGGAAATTGGCAAAAAATCGATAAATCGTCTCCAATCTTCCCATTCTACAGTCGTCGTGAGTCCCTGTCCATCGTCAATGGAACCTTGATGTTTGGACACCGAATTGTCATTCCTGCTCAACTTCGCCAACGTGTCAAAACAACTCTACACAAGGCTCATCCGGGACAGCAACGCATGAAGCAACTGGCTCGAAGCTACGTCTACTGGCCTCACATTGACTCAGAAATCGAATCATTGGTGAGAAATTGCCACGATTGTCAAGCAGCAGCGAAGAATCCAGTGAAGACGACGTTGCAACCATGGCCCACTGCTTCTATCCCACTCGAACGAATTCACATTGATTACGCTGGCCCAATTGATGGAATCTACTATCTTGTGTTCGTTGATGCCTTTTCAAAATGGCCGGAAATCCTGCCGACTCGGACCATCACTGCATCAAGAACGATCGAGCTGCTCACTCCAATCTTCGCGAGGTACGGTAATCCACAGACGCTCGTTTCTGACAATGGCACGCAGTTCGTTTCATCGACATTCCAACAGTTCTGTGCGTCAAGAGGTATCAAACATCTACGCTCTCCTCCATTCCATCCACAGAGTAATGGACAAGCTGAGAGATTCGTGGACACCTTCAAACGAGCACTGGTAAAATTGAAGAGGGAGGAGACAACACAAGAAGCTCTACAAACGTTCCTCATGGCGTATCGATCGACTCCATGTGCCAGCTCACCAGGTCAATTGTCACCAGCTGAGAACTTTCTGAAAAGAAAAATGAGAACGATTATGGATCTAATGTTGCCAACTCACCTTCCAATCGATACATCATCAAAATCGGACAAAATGAAGCAACAGTTCGATCGTCATCATGGTGCCAAATGGAGATGCTATTCAGTTGGAGATCCCGTCTTCGTCAAGAACTACCGTTCACCGAACACTTGGCTGCCAGGAATTGTGATTGCTCGTTCGGGATCAGTCAAATACACCGTTCGTTGCAATGGACTCGAATGGATTCGCCACGCCAATCAACTCCGACGTCGTGATCATCTGCCATCGTCTTCACATCTTCTGGATTGCTTCGATTTGCCAACAACTCCTCCACCGCCTTCTGATGCCTTCATTTTGCCAACGTCTCCGTCGTTGGATTGTTTCCCGCCTTCGCCTTGCCAAGATGTGCCAAGTACAACTACATCATTGCCAAGCACAACTACATGCCCGCCAAGTACAACAACAATCGCTTTGCCGCCAAGTACAACTACAACCGTTTTGTTGCCAAGAACAACTACACTCCCGCCAAGTACAACTACTGTAACCGGTTCGTCGTCAAGTCTGATGCCTGCACCGCAAGCCGCCGCCCCGACACTTCGCCGGTCTTCACGTACAGTAAGAGCCCCAGCACAATTGGAGATGGACCCGAGTCGGTCCACATACCGCTAGAGCTCAATGCTAATCGAGGGAGATGTTACGACAAGAGTCGTATAAATAATAATAATTGCATGACCTAGTGACCTAGTTTCTATGTAACCCCCTTCATGCCACGTGGCTCGTTGCCACGTGCACTTCCTGTCTCTTGTCTTGTTTTCAGCTAATCGGGACTTCCCTGGTCACCCTGTCTTCTATCTAAACCTTGTCCCCGTCTTCATATTCCTATAATATTCTCTGATAATTTCCGGCTATAATAAATCTTCTAAATATATAACATTATCATAAGTGTAAAAATATCGGAAAACATAATGAATACATCGTGAATAAGATTTTTCATTTTTTCTTAATTCTCGGAAAAATCATTTTCTCGTTCAGCCTCCCACATAGAATTCTCATTTATATAATTCCCTCGTAGTCCCTTTCTCCAAATTATTACCCGCTTCTTCTCCTTCCACGTTCTTTTCTGAATGCTACCGGAAATGAAAAAAGTAATTATACAAACTTATTTTCATTACTATATACACATTCCATCAAGAGAATTCGGAGCATAAAAACGGAAGTCTGCTGTTTTTCATCATAATGCATATAGTGAAGGTTCAACGCTTTGGGTAGATTTAACAAAAGGTTTTATTAACTGGTCTAAGACCAAAAAGATATTAAGACAAGAATACAAAGTAAAAGGCCTCGATTAAGCGAACGGGGAGGTATTTATCTGGGTCGATCCTGTGGGCGTGGGGCGGAGCTGCTGGCCGATGATGTTGCCTCATTCCAGGAGCTGGTGGTTTGATCTGAAACAATAATCTTAGAGTGTGTGTACAGAACGGAGGCGCTGAGAGGCGAAGGTGGTGTTTCAGCCTATGTGCCTTCTAATGGATGTCCCGCTGGGATTTCTTATCACCCGTGACTGTGTTGGACTTTGTGCTCTTCCTATGGGAATGCGGAACTTGGACTATGACCTGGTGGGGAAATATTATGGTTATGTAAAATCACCCTAAAAGGATATTAATATCCTTTACAATATTCAGAATAATGCTTTTTTGCAAAAGCAAAGAGAAGATATGGGATTTTTTTTCCGGGCAGAGACTTTTCAAGAATTTCTTCGGCCCGAGGTTCCCAGTTTTTTTCCTGCCGTTTCAAAGTTGATAGAGGTCCTTTGAGGCTATGGATATTTCCTGTAGGGATCAGTTCAGATTTCAAAATTCATTAGCCAAGTTATATAGAATGAAAACTGATCCCGACATCCCATTAGTATGCACCCCATCGCTTTCGAGGGCATCTATTTTCTCTTTCTTCCAATTATCAGACGCCATGCTGGCAAACACGACACCTTTCTATTTCTCAAGAGTGACGTGATTTGGTCATTCTTCAAACAATCTCAACCCTCACTACGCAACAATAATTCCACTACAGGTAGAGGTTTACGAGCATCCTCTTACCATCTGCTACGGTATTAACATTACGTCATTCCGACGGTGACGGACCCGGAATGTCGGTCGGATGAAGGAGGTTGCGCTCCACCGCCATCTGCTGTGCAGGACAATTTATTCCACGTTCAAAAGCACGCCTCATTTGTTCTAAATGTATGAGTTCTCTAGTAGAAGATAGATGGTTTAGGAGGAGAAGAAAAAATGAGAACGAGGAGAAGAACAAAAGATAATTGGTCAGTGTGACGTGTTAATAATTGTCAACGCGGGTTAGGAAGGATTTGGTAACCACAAAATTCAAACAGAAGAGAGAAACTATGAAAAACAAATTTCAAAACTGGAAAAAAAACCAAATTCGACCTGAGATTGTGTCGTAAACGTGAAAAAATCTGACTTCCAAGAAATCCAATTTCACATCTTCTAAATACAAACTACAGTACCGGTCCGTAAGATATAGGAAAACGTGTTTTTCAGTTGATTTCGACCATTTTTAACAGTCTGGTGTCCGGCTGTCAAGTTTCGGAGCTCACTGAAAATTTTGGAGGGTTTAACAGATCGAGATTTGAAACTTAGAAACTCTTCACAACTTTGTCGAAAAATTTCTAGTTTTCAGCTTTTTCTAATTTTTGAAAAACACTCTTTGTTAGCCCGGTTTGTACTGAAAACCTGAAAAAAGGCAGATGTCCTTTAGTATTCGGCAAATATCTTTTAAAAAACTAGGAGTTTCTAAAAATTCTAAAAAATTCTAGACAAAGTTTTGAATCTATGTCTGTTTTACGCTCAACAATGGTCAAAATCATCTGAAACGAACGCTTTTGTATCTCACTGACTTAATATTGAAAATTTCATATAAACACGAATAAAATCGTTAATAATAACTTAATAAGATTTATAAAGACGTGATAGCTTGTGGATTTTTCGAACTTCAAAAATTTGACAATTTTATGAAACACTAGCTTTTTTTTTTAATTTCAGGAAACTAACTAGTCGTCGGCTTATTCGAGTAAGCCTTCTAAATTTTTGTTCGTCATATTATTCAAAAATATTCAAATGTTTTCTTTATCGTCCAATATGTCTAATCGCTCAATCATTTCCAAAACATTTTCCCATCTCAATTACTCAGTGTCAGTCGTTCTTGCCCTCCGTCATTAGCTGGTTCCAAATTACTATCTCTCTTCAAAATCTCCTTTCCAAGTTGATGGATTAACACTCACTTCCACCTACACACACCCATACTTGCAAGGCCAAACATTAACGGAAAGCCCTCAAAACTTAAAAAAAAATTAAGTGTGATCTCCAGTTGGATTGTCAATTGTAAAGCTTTGCTGGAGACGGTCTTTTACTGGTTTCTTTACGATGGTATATTAGTTGTGACGTCACCACAGACATTGAATACTTTTTTGACGCAATAGAGACATGAAAAGTGGACAGTATTGTGTGGCGTAAGATACTGCGAGTGTAGTTCTCCAAACAAATAATCCCCACATCGAATGCTAAGAGGTTTTCCTTCAGAATTTGAAAATCGTCCGCCACGAACATTAAGATTATATGTTATTATTACATTTTCAGCCACAAAATATAGGTATTTTCAGAGGAATGCATCACCAAAACACAGTATTTGTTCCCCAAAGCTCTCGAATCTTGTCTAGATCTGCCAGATAACGCTCCCGGTAGATTGTATCTAGGCGAACAATAGAGACCACCGGTCAACTCGGAAGCAGGTGCAGTTTTGAGCACATGTGTTGATTGACAGGGAACCATAAAGAGCGGATGGTGTTGGCACGGTGCCAAGTCATCTGGATAATATATTTGAAAATAGGGATCGCTAAAGACAATGCGACATATTGACGTCGGATCCAAAAACGCAATAATCGTAATTTAGGAAAGAAGAAATTTGAACAGGATTGGGGTATATGATTCGGGAGGATATATTATTTCCAAATCGTTAAAAGTGTTTTGGAAAAACACAAAATCTAGAAAGTGTAAAAGACTAGAGCATAATCAACAAACCTGGGAATAAAATGAATTCTCACTGAAATACAAAAGCTACATGAAGTTGATCTATTTTGCAGAAACTGAATTACGGCAATTTCCATGTCATGATAAGTGAAACTTGCCAAATGTAAAACTTTCGCTAAGATACAGCAATCCTGAAAAAAACATCTGGAATAAAAATCGAGGAACAGTTTTCAAACTATATAAACCTAACTACAAATAAAATAGAATCAAAAAATTCAAATAATACTATTACAGTATCCCTGATCTTTGTAATCAGATTATCAGTACCCTGCAGTACACAATTATCTTTTTCCTGTATCAGCATTCGCTTCGACTACAGAACTTCTATTTTTAATACATTAGATACGGAGAACGGAACCTTGGACACCAACACCGAAATTCAAAAAATGTTGACTCAGCTTTCTTTTCAAAACGATCTACAAACAACTGACCGATCCTGATTTATGCACTGAAAAAAGCTCATTATCAAGTTGGTCCCATATTCTTAATTTCAACAGAATTGAAAGTCCTGGAGGTCTTTATAGAAATTATGAGAACAACAAGGAAGTGAATAATATAATGACGATGAGAACAAAGATGAAAATCCCATCAACTATTTACTCATATCTGGCTGAAATTAAATTTTCAGGCCTTCCGAATGTGCTCACTAGAATCATAAAAGTTTCATTTCTATAAAAATTAATTTTCTTTTAGTTTTCCCTGTCTGAAAGAATGCGTTCTCTGGTCTACGAAGTTTGAAGGGGAAAACAACGCCCTGAGATGCAATGGGTGGAGCAGACTGAAACAGGAATAACTCAAGTTGTAGATTGTAAGCCATCATGATTTTAGGCTTATTTTGAAGCCAATGACATTCTACAGGTGCTCAGCTAAAAACATTGTGAGATTGCAGCATAAAATCGGAAGATATTTTCATTTGAAGTCGAAAGTCAGTATTACGATTTCAATTCTATCAAGAATTCTACACGAAAAGTTTCATATATCTAAATAACACTTATATCAGCTTGTAGAGAATTTCTCTGGCTACACAATCATCAAATTTGCAAAATGATAACTAATCACAATCAAGTGATAACCCTCTTCAAACGAGGTCAACTCGCCAATGATTAAGTCTCCCCACTTTGACCACATGTAACTCGCTTGTTCTGGGTCATTTTTTACCGGGTTTTTGATATGTTGTGGATACCGTATCCGTCTATTAGCTCATATGTTCAGAATTTCCAGATTTTGATTTTAAGAGATGAATATTGCGACTATTCTGCTCAAGTCCTCTTTCCAACTTCGCGTGTTATTCGGCGGAGAAAGAGGTAGGCGGGATGTGTCCCCGCAGGGTGGTGGAGGCAGTATAAAAGAAAACGGGGTGACCAATGCAAACCATCACTTTCCAAGTGTCTCAAACCCAAACCTCTCTACCGAGAATGTCCGACTCTGCCCAAGTTTCCGTCGCTCCAGCCGCTCCAGCCAAGGCTAAGGCTCCAAAGTCTAAGGCTCCTAAGATCGCCAAGGCTAAGACTGCTTCTGCTCATCCACCATACCTTAACATGATCAAGGCTGCTGTTAAGGCTTCTGAAGACAAGAAGGGAGCTTCCAAACAATCGATCCTCAAGTACATCTCTGCCACTTACAAGCTCGGAGGAAATGTTGTCCAGGTATGTTATATTTCCAATCTCGAGCCTCTAGTCTCTTGAAGTCTTTTTTGAATTAACTAAACCAGTCTTGACCTCAAAATAGGTTTCAAACCCCAATTTTTGTTTTCATCTGAACAATAATTCTATTCCAGATCAACTCTCGTCTCCGCCAAGCTCTTAAACGCGGTGTTGCCAGCAAGGCCCTCACCCAAACCGCTGGATCCGGAGCGAATGGACGTTTCCGTGTCGCTGAGAAGGCTGCCGCCGCCAAGAAACCAGCCGCCACCAAGAAGCCAGCAGCCAAGAAGCCAGTCGCCGAGAAACCAGCTGCCAAGAAAGCCGCCACTGGAGAGAAGAAGGCGGCCAAGAAGCCAGCCGCTGCCAAGCCAAAGAAGGCCGCCGGAGAGAAGGTGAAGAAGGCCAAGGCTCCAAAGAAGGTCGCGAAGCCAGTTGCAAAGAAAGCCGCCAAGTCCCCAGCCAAGAAGGCCGCTCCAAAGAAGGCCACCAAGGCAGCTGCACCAAAGAAGGCTTAAATATCCTTTATCTCTATCTCCCCTTGATTTATCTCCCTACCTTTCTCCCACTCTCATTACATTGATAATTCAGATCTCCATATTTATTTCAAACGGAAAATTGCGCTAGTCGTAGTTTTCTATGCCTCCTTTCACCCCTGTAAGTGCTAAAAGGTACTGAATACTACTGGTACTCCTGTTTAATCAAATTTCTGAATAATCATTTATAACGTTGAACGTTACAAACCAATAAATAATTATAAACTAAATAAAACTGTGTTCTTGTTGTCTAAATTTCTCTCTTTTAGAAATTTCAGGCGCCTATCAAAATGTCACTTTTCCAAAGTTTGGGAATTTTCGAACCAATAGTTGCTACGAATAGGTTTCCAATGACATACCCAGTTGTCGATTTGTGATCGAGGTGTTCAGGTAACACAAACAGAAAACAGTCACATGTTACATTGGTTTACGGACAGTTGAAGGTATACCAGAAAGGTCGGCTGTGTCCACCACCCTCGTTGCGCGCTCCTGGCAAGCTGCCAAATTTTTTTTGCGTAATTGTCCGCTCTTCGGAAGATACACACCCCATCATTGATGCGCTTGGTGACCTCTTCCACCGAGGAAGCAGTGCTAAATGAATGGAGAGACAATACACATTCGTTGGATGACAGATCGCACAAAGAAAAGAACGGGTTGCATAGATTGTGAACATCCAAAGGGATTTGAGAGAAACACGGATTCTTTTTTCTAAAAGAACGATAAAACAACTGGCAATGGAATTTGAGAACCATTAGCATAGAATTTTCCAAGACGCTTGTGAACGACACACAGAAACTTGAACCAGACAGGATATTCATTTGATTGATATTTATGGGACACAATTAATGGGACTAATTAGGAAGCCACCACAAAAATCGTTGCTTCTTCTAAAATTTATTGTCGGATTGAAAGCTGACATTCAACATCAGAATTCTTTAGGTGGAAGTTGAATATCGCTCTTTTCCATATACTTCGGAGGGGTTTTACTTTTTTCTAGGTTTCGCATTCAAATTTCCAATGGCGGCACATAATTCGAAGGGTGAAACAATTCAAGGGTACAAGTGATTTAGGAATACAACAACCACAATTCCGGGATACAAAATTCGATTTTTCATCTGCGAATTTTTGCACGCTTTTGGTATAGTATTTCAACAGTTTTATGGAAAACTGTTGCTTTTGAAAAATTCGAACCCTTAATTTTTCCTTTTCAAAAATTAAAAACTATAGAGGCGCCTTGCACTGAACTTTCTTCACATTTTTATCAGATAAACATAGTTTTAAAGTAGTGTGTGACATACCGTCAGAACTGTAGCTTGCACTTTAAGCTCAATTGTCTTGGTTCTTATGCAAGATATCAAAAATCTGCCAACTGATAAAATGTATCTGATATTATGATAAACAATCTATCAGTTGACAAAGGGTATTATATTATTGAGAGGAACTAAGATAAATTGGCTCAAAGTTCGAAGTTTGGTGAGTGGTGTCTTTTTATAGGAGCGTTTACAGGATTTCAGAATCCCTTTCACTTCATTTTCCAATTTGAATTACGTTTTCTCAAAAAAAGACACAAAAATTGTTCAGTATAAGATCAACTATTGATGTACCTGTTATTCATTTCTGACAGAGCAGGATTTCCTTTTTTTTAAATACGACATTTGCCAAATTTACTTTCCAAATGTTATTTAAAAAATTAGAATCGATGTCTGCTTTTTAATTTCCTACAGATACCGTAAAACCTGTAATAAAAGTTTCCATTCTTCCATACTGACAAGTTTGAGCTAAATTATCTGAATTGCTATGCAAGATATCGAAAATGAATCAGCTGACAAATCACTTCTGATGTTATGATAAACGACTTATCTGTTGACAACTTTTTTATACCTTTCACAGGAGCCGAGATAATTTGATTCTAAGTTATAAGTTGAAGGGACATCCTATCCCAGGTTTTACGACACCTCAAAGTGTGAAGAGAAGGCTATTTTATTAGACTGACTTTGCAGATTCAAAACTTTTTTATCCACGACAGAAGGTTGTAATAAATAAATAAATAAATATTGGTTTCAATTATAATTTTAGTAAACAGTAGTTCCTAAGGAAACTACCAAACTCGGAAATTCAGAATTTTTGTCCATATAAACGAGACCAAATTTCAAACTATCACGAGTTTTTGAAAATTTTTAGAAGAGCATATTTCCGATCACTTCTTATTGTTCCATTGTTCTCTTTGTCACAAAACAGTAACCATCACACTGTGGGATAGATATGAGTAATGCATATTCAGCTATACTTGTTCCAATTGCAATGTTCCACAATGTCAAAAACTGAGCACTTTTCGTTTATTGTGTTCTTACATTTTTAAACTTATTATGAAAAATTTTTATTCTTAATCTCAAAAAAACCGAGGAAAACAAAACAAACCACCCTCGAATGTTCTCTTTTCCCCATTTTTGTTTTATTGTGCACAATTCCCATTATATTAAACAATTTTGTCTGGGTGCGTGGGCTCGCAAGGCGCACGAAAAACAATTTTCAGATCGTCTTCGTGTTTGTGCCGTCAACACTCTTCAATAAGCTGCAATTTTCCCGCATTGAATGATGTTTCATAAAAAAGAAAGAATGGTTGTCTCTCACAAAAACTTCTTTTTCTTTTTTTGTTCTTCAAAAAATCTATATGTTATAATAAATTCCCTTCGACTCAGAGCGCGACATTTGAAACGATAACTTGTTCTCCTGCTGAATACGCATTTGTCCTTTTTGTGTCAAATGATAGAAATTTGCCGCTAGATTTTCTATAAACGTCTTTTCATTCATTCCACTGTTATCTGTCTTGGCGGCGACCACCGCGGGGAAAAGTTAATACAGGTTTCTAGGTCAGTTCACGTTTCCATATCATTTTTTTTTGTTGCTGATGGACTGAAGGCGGGATAGTTGTTCTCCAAGGTTATATCAAAATTTATTAAGTTAATATTTTTGTTTAGTCTATTTTCATTAGTATCAAGAATCATATTCCGTACTTCCTGGTTTCCTAATTCTGATGAATATTTTTCCTTGTTGCTCAGAGTTCTTATATTTGTTGAGTACATCTAATCCGACGATTTATTCTGTTTTCCTTGAAACATCCTTTTCTCTTTTTTCTCTTTTTCCACGACGGAAGGTCGTAATCAATAAATAAATAAATAAAATTTCCTTGGAAAACTATTTCCTTTCCAAAAATCCTAAAAAGTGTGAAAATTGAGGGAAAACGGTTTTTTTTTTGGAAAAGTTCTAAATTTTCCATGTATACACTTGATTTTTCGAATTTTCTTTTTCCAAAACCTAATTTGATGATAAAATAGTGTAATAAGTGTTGTTATCTAATTTGGAACCCAAATTTTGCTGCTTTTATCTTCAAAAATCACGGTTTTTGCTGTGAATAAGGGCTCCAGGACGTTTCGTAGCGAGACGATTTGCAGCTGAGATGTTTCGCAGCTAGGACGTTTCGCAGCCACTATTATTCCAAATCGAAAACTCTCAGGTTTGAAGTATTTTTTCTAAAATTTTCTTGATTAATTATGTGTTATTTTTCATTCTCTAAAGCCTTCATCAACTTCGAGACATCAATTTTCTAATACCTATCAGAAATACACATAATCACATTTTTGTGTTATTTTTTTGGTTTTTTTTTCTAAATTAGTGTATTTTCCCCGTCAAACACTATTAAAATGGAAAATAACGGATAATTAAGCAAGGAAATACTAGAAAAAAATATTTTCAACCTGATATTCCTCGATTTGTGACAATACCGGCTACGAAAGGTCTCAGCTGCGAGCCGTCTCGCTACGAAACGTCCTCTAAAAATATTTCTCATTTCTAAACTTTTTTCGTTCCCATCAATTGCATTCCTCTGCTATCAGACCTCAATCTTTCTTCCTCAATGTCACAAAAATTGAGTCATCGTTCAGTTTTTCTGAGAAATTTCTCAAACAATTTTTCTAGAGAAAAATAAATTGATTTTCTAGAAAAACCAGAACAACTGAACAGTGATAGATACAGAGATTGTTTGGAAAACAAGTCGAAGCTTCAACCAGAATCAGAGATATAAAGGAAAATTGATAAATATGTAAAGTGTATGCGTGACTATGTAATAATTTGTTTGTTTCGATCCCCCCTTTTTTTATACTCCCGAATACAATTTCTCTTTCTTTGCCAACTCATTCTTTATTATTCAACCCGTACTCTTGTTGCGCAGAATATGCACGACGAGGCGCTAGAGAAAAAGGGAACCCCCACAAGACGAAAATCGATAGACTGCTCTTACGTAATGCGTCGCCTTTCTCTCTCTCTCTCTCCCGCGCCTCGTGCTTCTGAAGCTGCAATGCGAAAATTGAGCGCTCTCGACGACGACGACATGCTATCCGTTTCTCTTCCTTTTACTTTTCTTTCTTTATGCCTAGTCCGTCTAGCTTCCCAGAACACTTTGCCAAGTGTGACGAATCGAAAAAAGAAAGTTCAAACCTAAGTCTCGAATGAGAAACAGCTCAGCCGAATTTCATTTCGAAATTTCTTCTACGTTTTGTTTTCGGATGACGCCAGGTTTTTTCATAAAAAACTGTTTTTTTCGAAATCTGTTAAATACCTGAAACCTCATGTCCCTGGTTTTTCTAATGTTCCGGATAGACGAATCTGAGTCAGAATCAAAGTAAAAATCCTACTCTAATTTCTGAATTTCTGAATTTCCGAATTTCTGAATTTCCGAATTTCTGAATTTCTGAATTTTTGAATTTTCGAATTTCTGAATTTCTGAATTTCTAAATTTCTGAATTTCTAAATTTCTGAATTTCTGAATTTCTAAATTTCTGAATTTCTGAATTTCTGAATTTCTGAATTTCTGAATTTCTGAATTTCTGAATTTCTGAATTTCTGAATTTCTGAATTTCTGAATTTCTGAATTTCTGAATTTCTGAATTTCTGAATTTCTGAATTTCTGAATTTCTGAATTTCTGAATTTCTGAATTTCTGAATTTCTGAATTTCTGAATTTCTGAATTTGGTGTGCGGATTGAGGATTCGGTCTTATCTCGAATTATAAACGCGATGAACTCATTGCCGCCTGGTTCACGTGCTCAAATCTCACCAAGTGTCTTCGAAGAGATAGAACCAATTTTGTTCAGTAGTTCTAGGCGGCCAGATGCTATCCAAGATTTATCAAATAATGCAGTAGATTTACCTCCCATTCTAGGTTAGAGTTTATAAAATTTTTCAACTTTCATTGGAACGTTTCAGACTCTCCAGACAATCGCATTCCTATTCCCAACAGATCCGCAGAGAATGACGCTGTGAATCCAGATTTGCTTCCTTTGGACAATTCTACCAATTCGGAAATTCGACCAAGCCTTAGTGCTAATGTGACCGATACGTCATCTATTCACTCAATGAATTCACATACACACGCTGGTTCAAGCTCAGTCAACTCATCTACAAATTTGGATACGAACCAGGGTGTCAGTACGTCTTCAAACCATGACGCTGACGAAACAAATGCTAACATATTGAATGATTCTCGGATCCTGGCACAAATACACTATTGGGCTATAGAGGGATGCATACACCAACTCTAGTTGTGAACACCTCCATGAATGCTCCTGCTGCCACTCCATTCAATCATATGAGTTTGCTTACTTCTCCGTCAAATATAGACATATTGCAAAGATCCATAAGCCGTGGAGTGAACCTCATATCACCAATCCATGTAGCCAGCACAGGGAATGCAACAATAGCCAACCTTAAATCAGATCTGAACACTTTTGCTGCACCTTCAAACATTTGTGTGAATCCTTTGGCTACATCTTCAGCAATTCCATTGAACTTGAACAATATGGACATTCTGCAGAGAGCTGCGAGCGTTGGTATTAATGTTGGAACCAATGCGACATTCTCCAATACCATGTTTCCGAGCAATTCTGGAAATATCCCTGCAAATTTCTTATCTAAAGGCGTGGATTTTGCGAAACCATCCATGTTCTCCAATCCAGACTTCTCAAATTCTAACCAGAGACCCGCTACCTCATTCGACTGTGCAGGGAAACCCAACAAAAGATCCGCCAAAGCGTCTTCGACTGTAAAAAGGAAATATTCAAAAAAATCTGACACATCATCAAAGTACTCTAAAAACGCATCGAACCGACATAAAATTTCTGGTATGTTGTTAGTGATCGTAAAAGCTCCAACTTGATTTTAAACGTCGAGTCAATTTATCTAGTTTCCTTAAAGAGATATTGAGGAGTAGTCAACTGATAAAGTGGTTCCCCCCCCCACATTGTCAAGTTTGAGCTAGATTATCTCGGCTCCTGTAATGGCGCGTCTAAAGTTCTCAAATCTAAAACTTCTGGGCCCAGAACGCAGTCTAAAATGGCGCCCAGATTTCCAAGATTTCCAATTGGGCAAAATTAGAAACAGAAACTTTTAAAATTTTGGTTACATCAAATTGTGCAAAAAAACATGTTGATTCACATAAAGACAAAAAAAAAGCACTAAAAAAATTTCCTCCATTGAGAAAAAGGCATCGAAAAATGACATTTTTTCGGAGGAAAACCCTGGCGTTTTTCTATTTAAATTTTGAATGTTTTCTTCATCTGTATGTGAATCTACATGCTTTTCTGCACATTTTGATGCAATAAAAATTTCAAAAGTCGCACTGGTTCAAATTTTGCCCAATTGGAAATGTTGGGAACCTGGGCGCCACTTTGGACTGCCTTCTGGGCACAGAAATTCCAGATTTGGGAAGTTTGAACGCGTCATAAAAGATATCAAAAAGTGGTTAACTGAGAAAATGGTAACTATAATATCAAAAACATTTTGTCAGTGGACCATTTTTTGATGTCACTTACAATATATGAGATTTGTGGGCTCAAAGTTGACGGTGTTTTAGTGAATTCTATAAGTGTTCGTCGTTTTACTCAATTTTCAACGTTTCAGATGCAAAACTCCCTCCCATTACATCATCGGAAAATGGATTGTCTGGTCTGAACCTACCTTCAGTTTGTGGATTGCAATTACTTACCACTTCAAACGCAAATGGAAACTTCATATCTCCTTCAAGTCGTGCGTTTCCTGTTGAAAACTCATCTTCAAATTTCGCGTTGAATGCTATGAGTCTAATGGCGTCATCAGGAGCAGTTTCCAACAGATCAACACCGTTCTCGAATGTTTTGGACTCTCATCCATCATTCACATTGGATTTGAACGCTACCAATCTACCTAGTAGGAATTTCCTCAATGCGTCAGCAATTCTCAATGCGAATGCCATTGCACAATTATCATCCACGTTCGGAAGTCCAGCACCCTCTCAAAATTCACCTTTCAACCAGGATGTTTCTGCTATCAATACATCAATGAATTATGCAACGAGCGCTGTAAATTTACCCACTGTGTCTGATTCGAATTTCGCCAACTCTCTATCATTATCGAATATGAATGTTCCTTCAACATCTTTGCCTGTTAATATGGATCTAGCGAACTCAATAGACTACTCGGAAATTAATGTTGTGGATATGGATGAATTGAGCACGCCCTTATCTGGTTCAATTGTTTTGGATACACCTACAGCATCCGATGCAAATATTACCGCCTCATCTTCAAATTTGAGCGCAAACATATTGGACCGATCTTCCAGCGTGGAAACGGAAGTTCTTAGAACATCTCCGTCAAATATTGTGGCGAATTCAATAGTTTCACCTTCAGCTGGCTATCAAATCCATCATCCTTCATCAAGTCATCAGATGATCCCAAACTCAACAGGAGCAATCCAGCCTTCACATAGCGATCTAGTTGCAATCAATCATCCAGTAGCAACGTCATCTCAATTTAGTGATCAGAATGAGGTCGATCCTATGAGCAGACATGTCCCAGGAACTTCATCGAGTGATGTCATTCTTATTGCAGCTTCGTCCAATGAACCTGGCACTTCAAGTAAGAACATTTAGATTTTCAAAAGTTGACGCGGTTGTGTGAAAAATCTGTGTCTCTGAAGTTTGTGAAAACAATTCCTGTTGTCTTTGTTTATTAAAAAAATTAGATTAATAAGTTACCGTATTTCCTCTAATAGAAGCCCATGGGCTTCTATTTTTCAACCACTCTTTCAAGGTAGGCTTCCATTTGAGGTGGGCTTCAATTAGAGAGTGAGCTTCTATTTTTCAATGAATAATTTTCCAAAAATCAATTTTTTCAAAAAATTAAAAAATTCCACAATTCGGAAGTTAAGAATTCTGAACGTCGGCGTTTTTTTTCAATTCAAAGTTTCAATTCTGCAATTCTAAACTCCCAAGTTCCAAATTTACGAAATTCTGAGATTCCAGAAACTCAAAATTCAAAGTTCAGGAATTCTGTAACTCAGAAATTGGAAAATTTTCGGTTCAGAAATTCAGAAATAGAAACCCATGGGCTTCTTTTAGAGGGTGGGCTTCTATTTTTCGGAGCACCTCGCGGGGTGGGCTTTTATTAGAGGTGGGCTACTATTAAAGGAAATACGGTATCCTCTATTCGGGAGTAAAAAATATCCGGAAAAATAGTGTTTTCACACCTGAATTGTAAATTTTGTACACCTAATGCGCTTTGTATCCAGTTGTACCTCCGAATTTTTCTGCTCTCTGAATTATAAGCCTGAATATTCCTTTTCATTCCATTAACACCTTTTCTATTATAGGTGGAACATCATCGTCAACGCGAGAATCATTGCAAAACGACCTTCCTTCTGGGCCAAGCCCTATGCAACTCTTGATTGATGCAATTTCCGAAGAAATTGACGCGGAAGAGGAAGTGTTGAATAACACCAAACAAGCTCCAAATATTGCTCAGCGACTCACACAACAGTCCACACAACAGCCGGTGGAAAACGAAATACCTGCTGGGCCGGTGGATACAGCTAATCTATTGGACGGATATGATTTCGATTTGGTGCCCCCAAATATTCAAGATGTTGTGCTTACAACACAACGACAACTTTTACTTCTTGAAGAACACTTTAATATGAGACCTAACGTTCGAGAAATCATCAATTCAGTAGACAGAGCGAATTGGGACTTTGATTCAAGATCTTTTCGCCCAATGGTAATCCCACAAGCCATCGAGAGACCCCTTCGTCGGCAGTACAAACCAAGAAACAAAAATCTTGAAATACCAGCACCATTAAAAACTGCATCAAAAGTTGCAGCCCCTCTCCCTCAAACATTTGACGAACAATTTTTCAAATTTTTGTGGACAGACGGTAAAAGAATTAGTCCTTCAACTTCTGGCAGCCGGCAAATGGTTTCACAGCCTGCTTATATGCAGCAAATCCAAAATTTCAATGTCACCTCGAATCGAACCAATAGTTTCTACAGAAACAATGGACAAACATCTGACGACATGGAAACAGAGACAACTCAGGGGACTTCCAACTGCAAAGATCATATTTTCAAAAAACCTTCATCTGCGGGAGTGAGAAGGAAAACAAGGCAACAGGATTTTGAAAAACGGAAACTGAATACGACGGGTACAACTGTAAATAGTAAACTGGACCATTACGATGGTTCATATCAAACTGAACTGGAGATATCATCTTCGGATGTGCAACATGAGTGTTCGTCCAGTAACACGGGATTGGACCATCAAGTAATTCACACTGCTAGCAAGAAATCAACGCCAAAAAACGTTCGAAATTTGCAATCTTCTAATTTACTAAAATGGTCGATAGCTGGGCAAAACGAGGGTAATCATGAAGATTTCGGTGAAAGCATCAGGGATCCGTCTCATCCTTCTTGTTCGGTAAAAAAATTACGGGTTATACCAACGGACACAGAACGAAGTACTCTCCCGGTTTTGGCCACTCTCCAAGCCGGCACAAGAAGAACTGAGGAGCAAAGAATGGCAGCAAAAGAGGAAAGAAGAACCGTAAACGTGAGTTATAATGAAAAAAAAAAATGAAAAAAGCAGCTGTGATCAATTTTATTTGTAGGGAAACAAAATTGGACGTCCTCTGGGATCGTCCAGAATCAACAAAGCATATCTCAGTCGTACTCCGAATCAAGAAGTAACTCCAAATCAAGAAGAAAAGGAAGATGGAGGTAACACTATTTGCTTATGGGGAACATGCAGAATGGAATTCGCAGATCATAGCGTGAGTGGTAGTAGCCGTTAATAGTTACTAATACTGTAAAACCTGAAATAGAAGAACACCCATACTGTCAAGATTCAGCTGTTTTTCTTGGCTCCTGTGACAACGTTTTCATAGCTTTAACAAATACCGAGATGAACTGGCTAAAACTTAAAAATTAGATGCGCTTCTATTACAGGTTTTACGGTAGTTTCGAGTTCACTAATTGTGTCTTTCGTTAATGGCTATTGACCAACTCCTTTACCGATTCCAAAAGTATTAGCTTCTGAACTTGTCTGATAATTTCAAAGCACTTGCTAACATTCCGTGGCTTTCAAACTTATCAACTGCATAGATAAGTTCTCCAAGAATACTTTGTGTGTTTGAGTCTTCGTACTTACTATTAGATGCACTTCCCAGCTTACTATTAGAAGTAATGATTCTTATAAAAATGCACTAATGACTACCACGCTTGAATTCCTTTGCGATGGTTTTCATTTGGTAACTTTATTCATTTTAACTATCGTTAACAGGCTAATTACCAAAAACAATATGGCGTTAAACCTGTAACGGAGGGGCTCTCAAACTGTCAAGTTCAAGCTAATTTAGCTCGGTTCCTATGAAAGATATCCAAAATGTATCAACTGACAAAGAACGTCTGATATTATGATAAACATTTTATCAGTTGACCTCTTTTTTCTATCTTTGACAGGAACCGAGATAAATTGGCTCAAAGTTGAAAGTTACAGGGTCCTTGCATTACAGGTTTCACGCATTCACATTTTTTCAGCTATTCGTGGAACATGTGTCAAACCACGTTGTCAGTGACGGGGCGCATTATAAAAAGTGTCTTTGGAACGGTTGCGTGCGCACAACGCCATTCGACGCGCTCTACAAAATCCAGACTCACGTGCGAGGTCATACTAGAGAGAAGCCATTTCATTGCAATGTAAGTCTACAAAGGTGAAAAATAAATTTAATGAACTTTTTTAGGAACCCGGGTGCGAGAAAGCGTATTTGCGGATGGAAAATTTGAGAACACACCAACGGGTCCATACTGGAGAACGACCGTACGTTTGTCGAGTTTGCGAAAAGAACTTCACCAATTCTTCTGATTGCGAAAAGCATCTGAAACGAGTTCATTCTTCAGAGGTAATGACCTTTAAGCACAGTACCGGTAAACAAAACATACAAGAACGCGTTTTTCAGTTGAGTTTTATCATTTTCAGGTGTCTGGAGCTCGGTTGTCAAGTTTCCCATCACTTTGAAAATTTTGGAGGGTGTAAAACAAGCCTTAATTGAAAACTTTGCATTTACCGATTTTTTGAAAATTCTTAGTTGTTCAGCCAATTTCCGAGAGACACGCTTATTTTGTCCATTTTTACTGAAAAAAAGCAGGTCTCTTTCGAAACCATGTAACTGAAATACTAGAAATTAAAAAAAATTAGCTTGGAAGGAAAGTAACTGTCCCTTGTTTTATTTGTGAATAATACAAAACCGGATTAATCCAAGATTAGCAGTATCCACCGTTATGTCCCACAACATGTTGTCAACGTTCAGATGACTTGTAGATACCATACCTCCAAAAGCAAGCTAGGCGTGAATCAAAGTATTCGTTTTTTTCCAGTTTTTTCACCTAAATGGTGAAAATATCCGTACCCTCCAGATGGGGTTGTATCTCTCCGAATACCAATAATCTGATAAAGACAAGTCGGGACTATAAGTAGGTAAGTGAGCTGAAGCAGCTTAGGTCTGACTTGACTCAAGTTAAAAAATGAAAAACCTCATGTTCACGGAAAGTTATCTGAGCCACTTTGGCTGGAAGGTTCTCCTTTACCCCCGTTAAAGACTTGATTCAGCTTTATCAGATTATTGGTTATTCGGAGGTATACGACGTCATCTGGAAGGAAAGGACTTTAACACTATCAATGAGGAAAAAACGTGTTGTCGACCACGAGAGTACATACTGTCAATTTTGGATTGATCTTGTTTTTGTTTTCCTTGCTAATAAAAAATGACAGTTACTTTCCTTTTAACCCAATATGTAAATGCAAAGTTTTCAATTTAGGTCAGCTTTACACCCTCCAAAATTTTCAAAGTGATAGGAAACTTGACGACCGAGCTCCAGACTCCTAAAAATGCTCAAAACCAACCGGTACTGTATCAATTTCAAAAGGAAGTTTTTCAGAAGCACCACCCTTGTCTGTTTCCCGGTTGCGACAGAAATTACACCGACCCATCATCGTTGCGGAAACATTTTTTGAGGAACCATCCGGAAATGGCAAATGAGTTTCATTCTGGGTTATATCGTATGAAAACAAAGTCGCAAAGAGGAGCCCCATACGATTATCTCGATGATAAGGCTGGTTCGAAATAATTTCGGTTTTAATTTCCCTGTGTAAATTTAATTAACATTTCAATTTTCTAAAATTTTTGTTTATAAATGTTTTTCTTCATTAATGGATTTTCTCAGTTTATAATCAGAAAAATTGTTCCACGAATACATTCAAATACTTCAAGTTTTCTTTTTTTGTTTACGTTGTTTTTTCTTCTTTTACTTTTTTTGATTTATCTTCCCAGACATCTTTCTATTCTCCGTCGACCTCCATTCCACATAAAAATACTTACGGAAACGTCAAGACTCAAGAGCCTCCAAATTTTCCACATTTTTGAGAACTTGGAAACTCAAAAAATTGCCTAGGAACTTGACTTTCCCACTACATTTTCATATTTTCCCTAAGATTTTTCTATCCAGCTCCGTTTGTTCACACAATTTCACATTTTCGTATCAGGAATAGATTATCCCAGATTGAGATGTGGTGAACTGGCTATACGATTCAATTCCTTTGCTTCTCTTTTTTGTTTATTTTTTTTCTAGAGCTAAGTGATCAGAATTCGAGTTTATTGCACATTTTCCTATAGTTTGAGCTCTTAATTTATAAAATGAACTTTTGAAAGTTAGGGGGAGGGAACGCATATAATTTTACGATCGCATTTCCATTAGGAGTAAAGTGAAAGGCCACTCGCTTTGCTAAATTTTTAAATTCCTAATTTCACTTTCTAAATTTTCCTCTGTTTTGTTTTGCAAGTTCCATTGGAACCTAACTGCACCCAGATAAGAATCTAGTTTTGAGAAAATAGAAAAACTGAGGTTTAAAGAGAGAACCGAACTTTATTTCTCCTTTGTTAGTCACCATTTCTTTCTAATATTAATCGGAAAATTTTTCAAAAGCAATTAGATATTTTAGATTTTATCTAAGACAAGTTGAGTCATTTTTCAGAAATGAACCGTTAATACTATAATAGAATGCCCTCAAAAACGTCAATTAGGAGCCAATACATCTCATTTCTTTTGGGAAATATCGTAAAGTGGTCAACTGACAAAATGCTTATCATGAAATCGCAAACATTTCATCAGTTGGCCCATTTTTGGTATCATGCATAGAAATTGAGATAATTGAGCTCAACATATCTTTTAATTTTTGAGTCATTTCATCTCTGGGAAAGATATGAAAAATGTGTCAACAGATGAAAAGTTTGTAATATTGTGAAGAAAATTTTGTCAGTTGACCAACTTTTGATATCTTTCACATGTTATAAGATATCGGCTCAAAGCTGATTGTTTAGGTGGTCATTCTTTGAGCGTGTCTACGGAATTTTCCGTTCTCAATTTGTTTTCAATTTCTTTCATATTTCTAGGCTTGTTGATAGCACTTTTAGTAACATTTAGTATTCCATGAAATCATCATTGTTTTTGTACTTGTATCCTTAGCTTAGATATTCAGCAATGCGATTGTTTTCGTCTGCTCCAAAAACATATTCACGTCTGTTTGGCAACTGCTACAACCAAAATCAAATTTCGCTAGCAGAATATACCAAAAATCTTGATTCACTTAATTTCATTCAAATTCAATCAGAATTATGACAGCTGAACCAGAATTGATAAGAGGCCAAGTCTGACACACATGTCCAATATGTCTTGAAAATAAGTTGGCACTATTTCTGGTTCAGAATCAACATCTTTGTTCTTGTGAACATTACATTTCTGAAAGAAGTGTTGCTTTTAGATTTATTGGCTACTCGACTACTCCAACCATTTAGTTCAATGTCACATTTAAAAGTTAGGCGTAAGCTCACTCTCTCAGCTAATCAGGTTTAATTCATATCTCAAATTTGAATGACGAGACAGCTACTCCCACGTGAAATATTGCATTTTCTCATGACATTCATAAGTAAAACATTTTCCATTAGTTCCTTCTCAGACATTCAAAATTCACGCTGTCTAAAGAAGATTCCCTTTTTGATTCACCGACCAATTACTACAAAGAAAAAGTTTCCGATTAGGTTGTCTAGATAAGATGGATTTCTGGGACAAACATAGTTAGTGAGAGCCTTCTGAATGTATGAGCAATTTTATGTCGGGATTCCGCATATCCGTCTCTTCTCATTTCCTCCAAGCCCATCAGTTCTGGACCCTTCAAAAAGTACTTTTCTGGCTTTAGAAACCAAAGCAATCTCTGCTTCTCATTCTTGGTATCGTGTCTGATACGTTTTCCGGAGTAATATTGGCGCACACTATACTAATCTTGTAGTGAGTAAGGAGATTAGGCTGCTCTCTCTTTCTCTGCATGTTACGTCTAGGAGCCTTGGCAGTCACATAGCCATGTCTTACGTTCGAGGCACTTGAATGTGGCTGTCATGGAGACGAAGTCTGGTCCGCCCCCTCCCTCTCGAACGAATACAAAGCTTTAGTTTGAAGTGACCAGCCAGGTGCTTTCCAGACTTGTTTCATTCCTTTTTGGGAGAAAAATAGAACTGTCTTGGACCAACTTAATCATTTTTTGTTGTTATCTCCGTGTTGATATTCCCTTCAAAAAAAACTTAAAATTGAAACAAATAAAAAATCATTTCAGAAACAACAAATATAATCTCTCAAACTTGTCTCACAAAATGTTCTCAAGCGACGTACACCGTCCTCATCTCTACAAAATATCTCCTAATATGACTCTCAATGAATACAACGCAACACCGTCTCCCCCATTCACACCTCCGTGCTATGCTCCGATGACTCCGGTGTCGTTTGGATCTATGTATTCGAATCCTGATACTCCAAGCAGCGATCTTCTTAGTTTAAGCCCAAATAAGTCTGCCGAGTATAGTTGGCTAACTGCTAATGGATCTATGAGTGAGTTTCATAGACTTCTGATATGACGGAAACTTTTAACTTGGTTTTTTTCTGCAGACCCACCTAAGGTGCTCCTGGACACTTCTACTAGCCGATCATACTCATCAGTTTTCGATGATAGTGGATCATCTCGAAGCTCCAGTGATGTTCTTTCCGATTACTCTGACATGTACAGTCGGGAATTGATGGATTACTCGACACCTACTGGAATTAAAATTGGTGCTGCTCCGATCTTTTCTCATGTTCTCCAACAACAACAACCAGTCCTTGCTCCATTATTGTCCTCAACAGGAGAAGAGCATCTTAATCTAATCAATCTTGCCGAGAAGTGCAAAAACAATTCAACCAATGGGAACGGCATCTCAATCAAACAAAAACTGGAACAATCTATCAGAGAAAGAAGTATGATGAAAAATGATTTGCTCAATATTGTGAAACATCCGCCAATCTTGTCACCACTCCCGGAAGATATTATGGAGATCAATGAAACACCGAGAGTTGCCAAGAAATCCAAGAAGAAAAAATCAAGACCACGTCTCTCTGCAAGTGTGAGTGACAGGTTATATAGTCGTGAATGGGAGATTTGTTTCAGGGAAAACCAATTGGGCGTCCATTAGGGTCATTCAAAGTTCCTCAAGCAGAACCATCGGTGAAAAGAAGAACGTCATACGTGGATGATGGAGTTCATAATATTTGTCTTTGGAAGGGATGTGCAACCGAGTTCACAAGTAGTGATGTGAGTGTGATTAGTGTCAGCAATCACTGACAGGAAGGGGAAATGAAAATGTTATAGAGCATCGGTTAATAAGATACAAGAAAACGTATTCTTCAGTTGATTTTCGGCCATTTCGGCCATTTTCAAAAGTCAGCTCGGCTGTCAAGTTTCCTATCACTTTGAAAAATTAGGAAGGTGTAAAACAGACATAGATGGAACCTTTTTCATTCACAGAACTTTCTGAAAATTCTTAGTTTTTCAGATATTTGCCAGATTTCAAACGATCCCATTTTTGGGGCAATTTTGTATATAAATGTTGAAGGAAACAAGTGACTTTCAAAAATCGGACAATAGCTGAAAAACTAGGAATTTTCTAAAAATTCTGTAATTGAAACCTTTCATTCTGTTTCTTTTAGATTTATTGGCTACTCGACTACTCCAACCATTTAGTTCAATGTCACATTTAAAAGTTAGGCGTAAGCTCACTCTCTCAGCTAATCAGGTTTAATTCATATCTCAAATTTGAATGGCGAGACAGCTACTCCCACGTGAAATATTGCACTTTCTCATGACATTCATAAGTAAAACACATGTCTGTTTCACATTTTCCAAAGTTTTCAAAGTATTTAGAAACTTGACAGCCTAGCTCCAGCCCCTGATAATGTCAAAAATCAACTGGAAAATACGTTTTCGGATATCATATTGACCGGTAATGTAAATAATCAGGCTCTCGTCGGTTTTTTGTACCCCTATTTTTTTAGGCAAATACCAAAAAATAAAGCATTTATGCAAATTGGTACTTTGAAAAACTATAGGCCTTATTTTTCATTTACGAGACTCCGATGGTTTTAGGGGCCTCCATTTTTAATAGATCTTAAATTCTAGAACATAGCCAGTTCATTTCAAAAACTCATTTTAAAGGTGGGGGGACAAGAGATTTTACGGGGGATTTTCGGGGCCAGAGTATGCATTCTACCGTGACGGTGTACAACGCTTAATGTCACACTGCGTACATCTGTCGTCCTCGCCTTTATGTATGCAATCGAGGTGCCGCTCTCTCTTTGCCCACGTAGCTCAGTCGGTAGCGGCGCCGCACCCCCAATCCTCGTCCTCACAAGTTCAACTCCTCGAGGGGCATATTTAGACGGAATATCGAGAACATTATTTTTTTCAGTTCCCCCAACCTTTAAAAGGAAAGTGTACGTTCAGAAGATTTTCTCTAACGTTGACACGATTTTTTATTCCAATGTGACAAAAAAATATGTAGTTTGGGACTATCTCAGGATTTCACCGGTTTAGGGCAGTAAAATGTAGAGTTGCCCTCTTAAAAGGACACTAAGTAATCAAAAATTTCCCCACTTTTCAGCTATTCTATGACCATGTAAAAACGCATATGGCTGAATATGGACATCGCCTGCGAGTCTGCCACTGGGACGATTGCATTCGTGAGCAACGCCCATTTGATGCTTTCTACAAAGTGCAAGTTCACATTCGAACTCACACTAAAGAAACTCCGTTTCATTGCAAAGTGAGTGATCCGTCTAAAAAAACTTGATCTACTAAAACACCGAACTCTTTTTTCTAGGCTCCAGGGTGCTTGAAGTCCTACAAACGTCTGGAAAACCTGAGAGCTCACGCACTCACCCACAGAGAACTCGAGCATTTCACTTGTTCCGTCTGCCAGAAACTGTTTGCTGATAGGGAGGACTGCGAGAACCACGAGAAGAAACAGCACGCCTCCAAAAATTCAAGAGTCGGTTGTTCCAATTTTAGACTTTTAAAAAATTCAAATATTTTCAGAATCCATACCTGTGTCTTTCTTCTCAATGCGTGAAACGTTATGCAGATCCATCTGCTCTCAAAAAGCACTTGAAGAACAATCATCCACAATTACTGCCAGCGTATGAAGCAAGAGAATATCGTCAGCATCTTCCATAACCTTAGTAATTGCTCTCCCCAACTTTTGATGGTCTCCCTGAAATGTAACCGGTTTTATAAGCCATCAAGTAACCAGTGTACGAATTAGATTCCAAAAAATCAAAAGTAAAAATGATAGAATTATATTTAGTTCAATCAACAATAGATGTAGTTTTAAAACTTTATTTATTAATTTAGGACTAATTTACTCTTGTTCCAATCAAAACTTATTATATGTATCTTTCAAAAGCCATCAAAATTCTTAAATCAAATTTTTTGTCGCCATGCGTTCTCAAATTTGGTATCTTAAAGTTTATTATTCAATTTTTAAAAAAATATTTTCACTTGCCTCATAATTTCTGACGTATTTAATAAAGTATTTTGTCGTGGGAAATTATTTTTCACTGGTTTTCAAGGTTCTATCCTATTAAATAGGCTGGCTCTGTGGATTATGAAATTTTTTCGAATCGACGGACTTGGAGTTTGTCAATGAACTGAAAAAGGGAAAACAAAAAAGATGGAGAAAAAGTTAAAAGAGGAAGAAGAAGAAGAAAAAATTCCGGACTCTCCCCTATCCTGTTGTTATCTAGTACATCTCAAAATTACTATAGCAACCGTTTCTTTTTGTTTTTTAACCTTCCGGTTTTTCTGAGTTCTTTTCAATTTCTACTTATTAAGAAGTCTGCTAAACCCGTCTACTTCTTTGTGTCTACAAGCATAAGTGTGGCAATATCCTCATTTTTGCTCTTCAAGCTTTTTCCTCATTTTTGAGGTTTTAGATAACGCCCTTTTTATTCTTAAAAACTTTTTTTTCAAATGTTCCTTTGTTTTCTTTCAGACACATGAACATTCCTGAGTATTTTCTCTTCAGTGCTCTGATCATCTACGTTTTCGCCTTCGTCTGGCTTCATTATGACATCAGACGGTTCAAACGACTATGTAAGAGACGCTATCCGGCAAATGATGCAGGGAATGAAATGTTGATGAACACGTAGAATTCGTATTTTTTAAAACTTAGAATTGATAATTTATTGATCAGAAGAAAATATGGCACAAAAGTTATAACGGGAGTTCTAGATAAAATCCCTAACGAGGTGAACCTAGAGAATGGGGAAGAAAATGGTATACATGTAAGGTTGGCAAGATATTTAAAAAAAGGGGAAAAGGTAAGCTAAAACCGGGTGATGGAAGATTGGATTAAGGTAGAAAATTGACCGGGAGTTAAAAATTGGGGAGTGTTCCTTACAATTGCATTCCAAATAGGGGCGGTGGTGAAAAAGAAGTCATCGGTACATTTATCTGAAAGAATAAGGGTCATAGGTCTCCTAGGACAGTCGGAAATTCTTAAGAAAAAGGATAATTCTGGCATATAAGAGGCGTCACTAATCATTTTGTAAAGAAGCATAAGTTTAGATTTAAGTCTACGATGTCTGATAGAGAAGAGGTCAAGTTGGGAGAAAAGATCTTGATAAGAAGAGTATGAGATATTGCATTTCTGGAAGACTTTACGGGTGAAGAAACGGAGTGGTGATTCGAGTTTTTGAGAGTGTTAGGAATTGGAGGGAGGAGAAACGATTACTGAACAGTACTCAAGAGAGGGGAGTACGTAGGTCCTGAATAAGTGAAGGTAAAAAGAGGAGTTGGTGGATTTGAAAGATTTCAAAAGTTGTTTGGATCGGAGAAGTGAAACAGCAACCGATTTGTTTATGTGTTGGGTGAACTTAAGTTTGGAGTCGGTAATAAGTCCTAGATCACGAATATTGTCAGAAGACTCAATAGCTGAGGAGGAGATGAAAAGGGGGGCGTGCTTGTTCCTTGAACCAAGGCGTAGAAGAGAATTCTTTGTATGAGCTAGAGGAAGCTTATTGTTTGTGGCCCAGGTATCTATAGTGTTGATTCCAGATTGTAGAAAGGAGGGATCATGGGAATAGAGTTTTATGTCGTCAGCAAAAGCAGAGAAGTGGAGACCAGTGGGGATACTTTCAAGAAGATCATTAATGAAAATGATGAAAAGGAGAGGTCCAACCACTGATCCTTGCGGAACACCAGAGGGAACCGGGAAGGAAGATGGATCAATGTAGTTATCGACTTTGACAGAAAAAGTGCGGTTAGACAGATAGTCCCCAAGCCAACTGATTATGATAGGCGGGATTAAAGATTATCCTGCCAAATGACTCCTCAATTTCAATGTTTGTACATTTGTATCTCCATGTGGAAATGGACCCATATAAACCGGTTTTCTTGGCTTGTTATGTTCAATAATGTAAAAAAACATAAAACAAGGAAAACCACTTCAATTGAATACGTACAGTACCGGCCAATAAGATAAACAAAAACGTGTTTCAGTTAATTTTGACTATTTTCAGGAGTCTGGAGCTTGGCTGTCAAGTTTCCGACCACTTCGATAGCGTTAGAGGGTGTAAAAAAACCTAGATTGAAAAGTTTTAGATCCCAGAATTTTAAAAAGTTTCTCAGTTTTCCAGCTGGTTGCTGGTTTCTTGCAGACACCTGTTTCTTTCAAATATTCAGTACAAAAAAGTCCCAAAAATGGATGTCTTTCAGAAATTGGCGACAATTGCTGAAAAAACTAGGAGTTTTCAAAAAAACCTTGAATGCAACGTTTTCAATTCAGGTCTGTTTTACACTTTTCAAAGTTTTTTAAATGATCGAAAACTTGACAGCTGAGCTCCAGGCTTCTGAAAATGACCGAAAATCGATAGAAACACAAAATTTTATGTTTTATAAATCGGTACTGTAGTTCGGAAACTCCATGTCACAGTTGGGCAACTGCAAGGCTAAAACCTTGGATCTCTCAATGCTGACTTCCAAAAATTTCCTCAGGAAATGGGATTGACCCCTACGTTACCTCACTGGCAAGAATAAAATGAAATTTGACACACCAACAAAAATGTTTTTGATATTTGAGTATACACAATCTGCAACTCAAATAGAAAATTCGCAGCAGGTGAAACTTTATCGAGAAACAAATAATCATGCGAATATTAGGACGCCAATACATAATTTCTGGTTGAAATATGATGAAACAGGCGGTGCAAAATTATTTTCATGAAGAACCATATTGAGAAATTAATTTTTCGGCTCTAGTTGTTATTTTGGATTTTAAAGAAATTTTTGGATTTAAAAAAAAATTTTGGATTTTAAAAAACATTTTGGATTAAAAAAAATTTGGATTTCGCCAGAAATTTTTGGATTTTAAAGAAAATTTTGGATTTTAAATCAGAAATTTTTGGATTTTAGAGAAATATAACGAGATCATGCCCGAATAAGCGGAACAATGGTTTTTTTTGAAACAGTACAAGTACAAGTGTTTTATTTATCAACGATTGTAGGAAATACCAATTTTTAAAAAGTTAAAAAATTTTATCGTTCTTATCATTCGTTAAAATCAATTACCCACCCTTCTCCAACATCACACTGAAAATATATTACGAGAATGTGTTTATGTATGATATGTTCACCTTAAAATCGGTTTCGGAGGTAGTGATTTTTATCCGAAACGGTTGTTGTGTGCGTGGAAGAAACCTTCTTTCCTCATTGTCCCAATGAGAGTCAAAGAAAGAATTGAAAACAATGAGCTAAAATCACAATTAATTTGAAAGTTACATTTTTTGAAACTAACATTGTTTTCTTCTCTCATCGACATGAAGAAATGAATCGTTTCTCGGTGTCCAGTTTAACTCGTATGTAAATATATATCGAATCTAAATTAAACTTAATATTTTAAAAAACATGAAAGTCTACCTTGTTTCCAGTGAAACGTCAATGATGATTTCGGAACCTACGGTTAGGTAGATTGGTTCAGTATGGACTAAGTTGGATCCATTTACCACAACTGGGAAATGTGCAGAACCTTTTGCTACATAGTGAGAAGTTGATTGGATCTGGAAAATGTCGATTGACTAATAAATTCATAAACATTACAGTAGAATCCTGGTTTCTTTGGGCATTTTTTGGGCATTATTGTTGAATCCTGTGAGCCACGAGAGAACGTTGGTGAAATCTGAAGCGGTCCCAGCATGCTTTGCAAGATGATGCAAAGGAACTCGTTGCAAACTGTTGTCAAAACAACAACTTGCTAACATAAGATGAATAAACAGATGAATGATGAAAAAATCATAGTAGACTCTTTGTGATTCCAATTGTTTGTAGTTTCTTATTTATAGGATTGGCCGTGCCCCTGTGAACTTGGCTTTTCATATTTTTATCAGGAAAATTCTCTTTTCGTGCCAGCCAATTACTCGGCACGAGTACATTTGTTCGTGTAAACCCTTAACAGAAAAATTGTTGCTAACCTCTTTTTCGGTGTCAGCCGATTACTTGGTACGAGTACAGTTTATTGTGTAATCTTTATCAGAAAAATCGTGGTGAAATTATATTGCCGTGCCAACCGATTGCTTGGCACGAGTGATATTCAGAGGCGCCAGAAAGACTGCAGAATGGGATATATAATGATACTGCAATGGCGTTTTTTTTTCAGTTTTCATGACATTTTCAGTTTTTTTGACATTTTCAGTTTTTCAGTTTTCATGACAGTTTTCATGACACTTCCCAACCCTACCATGATTATTTTCATTGTGCTCTTGCTGTTCACAGCAACTGCTTCTGCTGGAAGACCTCAACGCTACTACATAGTGCACCCATCTGACGTCGAACCCGTGGAGAAAATCCTTGACCTTGAGGAACTCAATTCACAAAATATTGGGACCTACATCGGAGCGGCAGATGGACAGCCGGATTCTGACCAGCTCGCTCTGGATTTCTTGGCTAGGGGAGTTAAATGAATTTTTATTCAATAAATCGTTTTGCTCCAGGTACTCTCTAATTCCGAACGAACGACAGTGTCCCGTCTGCACCAGTGTCTCGATGAGCCTCGTCAAGGATAGATCTCTCCAATTGGGACTTTTTTGGAAATTTTCCTCTTGTACCGGAGCCCGTGTGACCATAAAGCAAATGATACGGTAAGTGGGAAGGTGCTACTGGTGCTACAGGAGGCTCCACGAGTGGATCACTTCGAGGATCAACAAGTGGGTCGACAAAAAAAGAATCCAGAGGATCGAACAAAGTATCGACGCAAGGTTCGCCTGGAGAACCGTCCCGATCAACAAGAAAGTCACCAAAAAAGGCTGCAAGAGGATCGTCAAAAGTATCCACAAATGGGTCGGCTGGGGAATCTTCCCAAGGTTCAACAAGGAAGGCATCTAAAGGAGCTTCAAGAGGATCGTCAAAAACATCGACGAGAGGATCAACTGGATCATCAATCAGAGGGTCGACGAAAGGAGCAACCCGAGTAGATGTTCAAGGAGCATTCCAAGCATCAGCTCAAGGAACATCAGACGGAACACGCCGACGATCACGACGAGGAGATGGCAGTGGAGCATAAACAGCAGCCCAAGAAATATCTGACGGATCACGCCGAGGATCACGACGAGGAGATGGCAGTGGAGCATCTCAAGCAGCAGCTCAAGGAACATCAGACGGATCTCGTCGAGGAGAAGGCAGAGGAGCAGCTCAAGAAGTAGCTCAAGAAGCAGCAGAAAGAGCAGTGCGAGCACCATCAGGCCGAGAAGCAGTTCAAAAAGCAGGAAGAGCAGGAAAAGGAGCGGGTCGTGGATGAGATCATGATTTTTTGGTTTTCATGAAATGTAGTTATCATTATTTATCACTTTCTTCCTCTTCACTGTTTTCCTGATAACGTCAAATGTACTCGTGTGATGAAAGAAATAAAAAGTAAAACTGATTATTGATTCCGATAAAACGTATAAAATTTTCAAAAAAAAGATCTTAAAATTTAAATGAACGCCTGAAAACCAAGTCAAAACTGCTGTTCGAATGCTTGTTACAGCAATTAAAGCTATAAGAAAATACAGGGTTCAATTTCTTTAAAATCCAAATTTTTTTTTAAATCCAAAAATTTTTTTTTAATCCAAAAATTTCTTTAAAATCCAAAATAACCAACTAGAGCCAATTTTTTCTAGGATGATCAGGGGCCGTATTCATGAAATTTACTTTTGTAAATCACTCAAAAAATCAACTGAATCATTTACTAAAAAATGAATGGAAGCGTGAAAATGTACTGAAAATCTTTTTCTCATTTGTAAATAGTTTTCCTGTTTTAGATAGGAAAACGACTTTGGACTAGGATTTCTCAACTACTTTAAACTGAAAAATGTTCATTTTTTGAAACATTACTTTAAATTGAATGCTCTATCCATTCATGTCATTTGTATTAAAAGTCATGATTATCAAGTTGAACAGAAACGAAATATGTGTTCAAAGTTAGATAATATCGATGTTACAGTACTATTCTTTCCATACATAATTTTTTTTGGAATGAAAAGTTTCAAGAAGTGGTTGTAAACAGCAAACGAAATTAGTACCCCTAATTACCAAAAAGAGGGGTATTTACCAAAAAGTAAATGATTTTCTTTTAAACTTTCACGTTTTTCATTTGATTTTTGAGTGTAAATGATTTACAAAAGTAAATGTTCATGAATACGGCCCCAGAGCTATTGGTTCGCAAGGCGCCAACGAGAGAAAGTTTTCGCTTTAAATTTAAAAAGTCCATTCTCCAGAACATTCTATTTTTCAGATCCAACTTCAACTTTTCGATAAGCTCTCACTTCCGACTCAATAAGTACCCCACCTAGCGTGCTGTTATAATACTCGAAAAAAGTTCATCTCCGCTTTCTAGAGTTTCCTGTCTATGTGAAAATTCACATGGTTGGACTTTTTGCTTCATTGGAAGGTTTGATATATACTCTTTGGAATATTTTGTTTTCCTATATTCACTCTGTCTGCCATCCCCAGGTGGATTGTACTTTGCTCTACTCCTCGTGCACATAGCAGACATCTCCTAGGATATTAGTTTGTCACTACTAAACAAAATTCTTTTTTAGCTTTATTTTTCAGAAAATTTTTCTCCAAAGTTTTCTAATAAAATACTTCATGCTTGCTTTTGAAACCTAGTATTTTGTTTTGGGTTATCGGCCGATTATAGACAAGAAAACGTATGTGTATGAGTAAATCTCCCATATTACATAAAACACGCATGTGATTACTTTTTCCTTCCTCTCTGCTTTCGGCCTATCGATTTAGTGCAAATCCTATGTGTTCTGATGCAGTAATATATCTTGGGTATTTTCTTATTTTTTCCTTCACTTCTCTCGCTGCATTTTTTTGCAAAACTAGACGTTTTCAATATTACTCGCTTTTTTCCTAATCATTGTTCTATTTCAGACCAAAATCTGACTGTCGCCGTTCATGTACTCTCACAAAATGTCATGGATAACAAGAAAGGATTTATCCGGATTCCGCATCACACCACACACAACTCTTAACGAGTACAATCGTATAGATTCGCCTCCTTCAACATCACCAGAGCCTTTCGGTTCAATGTGTTCTTTAGACACCACATTTGAAGCTATGGATTATTTCAGGAAGAGTCCAGATAATCTACCTACGGGTGAGTCTGAATTTTGTTTTTCTCTGACTAAAATTAAGTTGTTCTCGTTTCAGAAGAATTGTCACTGTTTTCACCCAATGAGCAACTTCCAGACTGTACAGACAACGGAACTGATGGTGAGTACAGGGCGCAAAGGTTTTAAAAAGTTAGAGAAACTTTATCTATAGATACAAAAAAAGATAAGGCTTCTTCTGCAACTTTTGCAATTTAAAATCAGAAACCTAACTTATCAGTTATATGGTTAGTTGACGTTTTCAGACTGTTTTTGGGCGTTCACCGAAAACGCGTGTAATACGAGCTCGCATTTGAATACGAGTGAAGGAGAGCTCAGTTCCAACATTGGAAAACCAAAAACTTGCTACTCAGTAAATGTTCTGACTGCGGAGGACTTCAATCTCAACGATGAGAAACAGGAACAAACAAACTTTCAAGAAGATCTTCAAGAAATCGAACTTTCGGACAGCAATCAACTAGCCGTTTCGCCCAATTTGCAAGTCAATTTTACAAACAAATTTACTTTAAATGGCTCAAATAGTACAAACAAGGTTTGAACCAATATAATTGTTTTGAAAATTAAAATATTCATTCAGCAAACGCTAACGGATTGTCAACCAGGTTCATCCAGTACAATAGTGTCACCAACACCAGAAGTCGAGGAAAACAGATGGGTGATGATAGAATGTCATTGGTTGAGGTGCGGTAAATTATTTGAGACGGATGCGGTAAGTTTTTTATACATAAAAATTCATACTTGCAACGAGCCGGGCCGGGCCTTCAAAAAGTTGGCCAAGGCCCTGCCCGGGATTTCAATGCTTAAACTAAAATTTTAAATATAGTTTTTGCTGACTTTTTCCTGAGATAGGATCGGACTGAAAATTGCATCTTTGAAGCAAAATAACATTTTTCTCTCAAAAAACTAGCTTTTTTTGTTTAAAAAATTTAAAACATTTATCAAAAAAAAAAGTTTTTTTTTTGAAAAATTTTGGCAAAAAAAATTCCTGTCCGGGGGGCCGGGATTTCCTGTCCGGGGGCCGGGATAGGGCCGGGATTTCAACATTTTTCGCAAATATGTTAAAATTGATTAATAGAAATATAAGTCACTTTTCAGGAATTTTTCACACACATCAAGAAACATTGTGTTGGTAGGCGGGTCAATCGATTTTGCCTGTGGGAAGGTTGTTCGCACACATCTCCATTTAATTCAATCGAACTGCTTGAAGGCCATGTTTGGACCCACACAAATTATAAGATAATTCAATGTGATGTAAGATAATAAAATTTGTCGACAAACCAAAGAAAAAACTTTTTCAGAAACCAGGATGTAACAAAACGTTTTTGTTCAAGAAGAAAATCAGATATCATAATTGCGCTTATACTAGACAACTTTGTGCCGACAAAGAAGATATAGCGAATAGCAATACCTGTTCGCAATACCTTCCACACACAGAGCATGAAAACCATTCAAATTCAGAAGGCGTAAGATTTTTCGTATTGGCCACATTCAGGTTATAAATATTTTCAGAAAAGATACAAATGTGACGCATTTGGATGTATGAAATCGTATAAATCGTTTGCACCCTTCGAGAAACATTTGAAAACTTGTCTCTGGAAAAGAATGTATAACTCACGAAAGGAGCGAGAAGAATCTGATGTCAACAACTCTATTGAAATGCAATGAAATTCTCCTTGTTTCATAATAAAAGTGATTATATGTATGTCTAGTTGAGACATGATTCGGGTAGTTGCTTCATTTCTAAATCATTAATATTTCATTATCTGAGGTTCCCATGCAAAACAGGAAAAGTATGTCATTTAATGAAAATTTGTCGTAATATTACCAAATTCATTCAGCGGATAGTTCCCTAATATTTTTCACTAAAATTGAGATAACGATTTCTTTTTTTTCTTACTAAATTCAAAATTGAAATGTAGTATAAACTGAATTATTTACAACCTACTGCGAATGCTCAAAATACTCCATTCTTGCTCTTTTGAGGTCAATTATCTCTGTTCGTATAGAAGATATGAAAATATGTCAATTACGAAAGTAGTTATCATAAACACCAACATTTTATCAAAAACTTGGGTCTTGTCCGACTTGCAATAGGTGTGTTAGCTTGTTCGAACATTTTTTTTCTGATAAGTAAAGTTGATAAAAATTTTGAAAATCTTCTCGACGCGAATGTAGTTTGTAAAATCAATACTTTGATCTAGAATTATCAACAATGCCGAAAGAAAATATCAAACACTCTCCATTCCTCTCTTTTTAAACGAGTATCATATTTCTTAAACGATTTCTTCGTTTGTCCTTTTACGTAGCGACAGTACATTCGCTATTGTCGCATTCCACGTCTCTCATCGTCCAATTTTTTTCACCCCACAGTGTCTTTTATCTGTGTCTTGCTTGTGTTTCTCTCCTTTTTTAGATTGACCTTGAGAACGGTTCGATTTTTTTCATACTAAGCGACTGACAATGTCTTTTCAACGATGATCACTCATTTTTGTTTCAAATTTTTAAAATAAGTTTTTTACTCCATCTACAATGAAGATGAATGTTTCATGTGTCAGAAAATAGTTTATTTTCTTTTTCGCTTATCAAAACAGTTCTCAATCTCTACCAATACAGAATCTCAAATGTTACGGGATATGAGAAATGAATGGTCCGATTTTCAATTAACCCATGATGTTAACCATTCATATCAAAACCCTGCATATCAGAATTGTGCAAGTGTATCTCAATACTCTCCACCAATGCCAGCGGTGCCCTACTCTTATTCTACAAATATTGAAATGAATGGTTATAACCATGCAGCTCCAATAAATCCGCATATGAGTAAGCTCAATTTCTGTGGAAACGAAATACGGAATTTTTCAGATGATCCCTATCTATTTCATCCATATAATTATCAACAATATCCAATGGCTGCAGATGTAAATCCAGGTAAGTGGGTTAAAAATCTTTTTTTTTTCTTGCCCTGTCTTCTGTCAAAAATCCGGAATTTTTATCTTTTGAATGATAACTGTTTTTTAGGGCAGCAGGAAGATTTATTGCAATCGTTGCCAACATTGATACCAAATCACAGCGTAACAGGAGAACCTACAAATTTGATTGAGGGACCCGATAATACATTTATGACAGATGGCAATGCTGTTCAGCCCAAAGTGAAGGTCGGCAATGATATACGGTAGTTATTTGAACTGGTATTTTTTTAGACCAAAGTGAATCGATACAAAACAGACAGCCGGACATTTTCTGATAAAATACTACGGCCAGAGAGAGCCAGTGATACGGTGATAGTTTGCCGATGGGATCATTGCGGGAGGAGATTCACAAGCACAAATGTTGGTTGATAAATTTTTTATAATCAATTATAGATTCGTTTTTTCAGGCATTCTACAGACACGTTCAAAAACATGTGATCGTTGAGGGAGACTTGTATAAAATGTGTTTGTGGGAGGGATGTATGCTTCCGTTCAACACAAACTGTGAAATTATTATTCATGCTCGATCTCACACCAACGAACGGCCGTTTGCATGTGATGTAACTAATTTCGGAGTACTGAAATTTTAATTTAACAACTTTCAGTGGCCTGGATGCCTCAAAGCGTACTCTCGAAAAGATAGATTAAAAATCCACATGCGACTTCACACTGGAGAAAAACCATACTCTTGCGAAACGTGTGGTAGATCGTTTCATGATTCCTCAGACCGTTTCAAACACGAACAACGCGTGTGTTCTGGCAAAGTGAGTTAAAAAAAATAGGATCTATCAAAATAGAGGTTTTCCAGAAAAGATTTCCTTGCGAAGCTCCAAATTGCTCGAAAGTGTACAGTGACCCATCATCACGTAGGAAACACCATCGAATTTGTGAACCATATTCCTTATATACTAAAGGAGCCTTCAAATGAAGGAACACAAGAAAAATATGCATACCACTTTTCTACAGCTCCAAGCACTAAATTTTTAACCAAGAATAGCCAATTTCATGATTTAATGCTACTCAATTTTCTAGCCGCTGATTATTATTTTCTTTTCAATGTGGGGTTCATTTATCCTTTTTTACTAAACCAGTATATTTTTCTAAGTTGATTTACTTCTCCGAAATAAAAAAGTTTGGATCCTCTAAAATTCAAAAAAAAACGTTTTTGAAAATAAATTTAGAAATGAAAAAAAAATAAAAAATATGTTCTTTTTGGATATGTTTAAAAAATATGTTCTTTTCCTACCTCTGATAGAGGCTCACCCCGCGAGGTGCTTCGAAAAATAGAAGCCCACCCTCTAATAGAAGCCCATGGGCGTCTATTAGAGAAAATACTGTGATTAAAATTTCAGAATTTTTGGAACTGGTATTTTAGAACTTGAAAATTTCTCAATCTCTGATCTACAGAATTCTTTAATTTGGAATTTTGAGATTCTGGAATCTCAGAATTTCAGAAATTCGAAATTTCGGAGTTTAGAATTGCAGAATGAAAACTCCGAATTTGAAAAAAAACACCGAAGTTCAGAATTCTTAACTTCTGAATTGTCAAATTTCTAATTTTTTGAACGAGCATTTTTTTGAAAATTGGTCCTTGAAAAATTGAAGCCCACCCTATAATTGAAGCCCACCTCTAATAGAAGCCCATGGGCGTCTATTAGAGAAAATACTGTGATTAAAATTTCAGAATTTTTGGAACTGGTATTTTAGAACTTGAAAATTTCTCAATCTCTGATCTACAGAATTCTTTAATTTGGAATTTTGAGATTCTGGAATCTCAGAATTTCAGAAATTCGAAATTTCGGAGTTTAGAATTGCAGAATGAAAACTCCGAATTTGAAAAAAAACACCGAAGTTCAGAATTCTTAACTTCTGAATTGTCAAATTTCTAATTTTTTGAACGAGCATTTTTTTGAAAATTGGTCCTTGAAAAATTGAAGCCCACCCTATAATTGAAGCCCACCTCTAATAGAAGCCCATGGGCGTCTATTAGAGAAAATACTGTGATTAAAATTTCAGAATTTTTGGAACTGGTATTTTAGAACTTGAAAATTTCTCAATCTCTGATCTAGTGAATTCGTAAAAAATTGAATTCGTAAAAAGTTTGGAAAAACTGATATAGCCGTTTTTTTTTTGTTCAAAACGGATTAACAAGTTTTGCCAACTAAATCGTAATTTTCGAAAAAAAGGAATCGCAAATGTTGCGTTTTGTTCGCATGCTACACCACCTCGTGTAATCAGTCAAACTCATTCATTCTTTTGAAATTTCCATGAAAGTGCAATACCACATTCACTGCGAATGTGGCTTATCTACAATACTGGTAGCTACGTCATTTTTCAATCGATGCCATTTATACTGATAAAAGCTTTCAAATAAAACTCAAACAAATTATATTCAGTTCAAGATAATGATTTGCAACGTTTTTTGGTTTTTTTGGTCGCTTCTTTTTTTATTGGGGAACGTTATTTGATAGCGTAAACACTTTGGCAGATAGATAAGAGGTTGAAAAAACGCAAAAACAGTTTAGATATTGTTGTCGAGACGTTTCTGACAGTGTTGCGGTATTTGTTATCCTATGATATGTTACTGTAAAAAATACCTTTTCAAATGAATTTAATATCATAACTTGGTGTTGTAAATTATAGTTTTAATATGTAGTTTTTCAGAATTCATCCCTAAAGGAAAGTGTTCCAGAATGTTCTGGAACATTATAAACCGATTTACGGGTGTTACACCAAACACCACTCTCAATGAATTCATTCGTCCAGAATCCCCACCGTTCTTGGCTCCAGTGAGCCCACTCCAATATGAACCGCTGTTTCCCAGTAATCCAAGGTCTCCACTAATGGAGTATTCAGCGATGAGTCCCATGGCTTCCAGTATGGGTAAGTTGGAATTTTTGAAGTTTTGCAATAATGAAGCATACGGGCAGCGCTTTTTAAAAAATGCCTTTGTCCAACCAGGGACCGGCCTAGCCAGACTCTATAAAATTTTTTGTGAAATTTCCTATTCAGATGAAATGCAGTCTTTGTTCGACAATGGACGCGTATCATACCAAACATCTGATGTTGTACTGCATTCATCATATCTTAGCAATGCTCCAGGTACGACTTTTGATGGATATAATGGTTAGTGAATCTAGAAATTTTAAGGTGATTAGAAAATTTAGTTATTTAGCCTCACCGATATATCAAGATCTGAATGATATCAAGTTCCTCGAGGAAGACGAAACTCAAATTCAAGATCTTGCCGTTACGGAAAACCATCATCCCCATTCCTGTACAATTCAGCCGGACAAAATTTTGGAAAATAGACGAGAGCCATCAAAAAATCGAAAACCCAATAATAAGGTACCACATGTTGAAAATATGCGAAAATCATTTGAAACTTTTTTTCAGAAACCAAGAGTTGGCCGCCCTCCAGGAACTTACGAAAAATCTAGTTGCTTGATGAGAAAAACCGAAAATAACGAAAAACTGATTTGTCGATGGGATTCTTGTGGGAAAATGTTCAATGAACCATTGATATTCTTTGAGCACGTGAGACTTCATATTCTCAAAGAAAATCAAGGTCCCAAGAATTGTCTCTGGAAAGGCTGCACTCGTGAAATGCCGTTTGATGCGGTGTACAAACTTGCATGTCATGTTCGAGGTCACACTAACGAGCAGCCGTTCCGTTGCAAGGTTTAATAATTTTTCAATTGAAAAAACTTGACTTTTGGGTAGAATTACAGGAACCTGGATGCAACAAAGCCTATCTGCGGATGCAAAGCTTGAAAACTCATCAGTTGATTCACACCGGAGAGAAACCACATAGCTGCGGTTTTTGTGAGAAGAAATTCACAACTCGGTCTGATTGTGTGAGCCACAAAAAATATGTCCATTCGGGTAAAGTGAGTTCAGTTTCATTTGATTTTCGGTCCTTTTGAGAAGTTTGTAGTTCGGATGTCGAGCTTTCGATCACTTTCAAAATTTTGGAGAGTGTAAAAGAGACCTAGATTGAAAACTTTGCGTTTATAGAATTTTTCGAAAGTTTCTAATTTTTCAGTTTTTTCGCGGATTTCTGAAGGGTACCTCTTTTTGGCCCGTTTCTGTACTGGAAATATAAAAAATGTGTTTTTCACAAATAATCTTTTTCGGGTACATTTTTTTGTTTTACTCAGGTATTGCGTGTTCATCACTATAATTTTCCATCTGTTTTCAGTTAGTTTCTGAAAACTGGTCAATTCCAAAAAAAATTCTCAGGTTTTTTTTCCAAATTCTTATAATTTTGACAAATTTTCACCAATCTAAATGATTGGTACAATCTTTTGATAGTTAACTGCCTGAGCAACATTTTCTTACAAGTTTCTTACAAGTAAGTTTACAGCTTTAAACGAAAAATTCGAATTTCCGAAGGAAAATGTGCTCTAATGAGAAGTCTCCAATTAGGATATTTTAGGTGATTTTGAATGAAACATGATTATTTTGTTTCTGTTTCACCCCAACATTTTCAAATTGATCGGAAACTTGACAGCCGAGTTTCAAATCCCTGAAAACATCTAAAAATTACGAAAAATTAAAAAAATGTTTTATATAGCTTATCCATCTGTACTGTATATGCTAAAAAAGTTACGCTGAACTATTTTTTCATTCTCTTTTTGTTCCAGAAAGCCTATGCATGTGGAGCTCCAAACTGCGACAAGTCATACACTGACCCTTCGTCTCGAAGAAAGCATTACAGATCTTGTCTTTTATGGAAAACGTTTTGTCTAATTGAAACCCCCTAGGATTTAGAAGGATTCAGGCAAAGGACACCAAATTTAGGCAGTTTCACAATCTTTTTTACCAAAAGAACAAAATTTTTAATCTCGTTTAATCTTCCGCATTTCTGTCATTTTTTCCATTTTTCCATTTTCCCCTATTTGTTGTAAATCTTCATCCTAAATTTCCTTTTTTTCAATTTATTCCTTTCGAATTGTCTTTCCAATATCCGTTCTTAAAATATTTTAATAAAAAAAAGTTTGTTAAAAAATCCAAATTACATCATAATAGGGGGCTGTCCGGAAATTGCCACCCCACAGATTTTTTTTCCGAGTATTTTTTCGGAGCCACGCCCTCTTTATCAAAACACATCTCATTTGCAGTCTACGACCACACGAGATAATCTCCTGATTTGTATAACCGCGTGCACTTTTTTTTTGCTTTTTTTCGTAAGAGTGCTCATTTATTTTTTGATCTGTTAGGTCTCATTCACACGCATGGGTAGTCTAGACGAACTACAAAATTGTCTTTTTTAACAAATGTGTGAATTATTCTTCTGAGTGTGTGTGTGTGTTTCATTCATCTTCTACTGCCCGATGATGGTAGGAGAATTCTGACCTCCAAAACTATTTCCTTCTGTGAGGTAAAAACGAGAAAAGAAAAAGTTGATAACAGGTTCGTAGAAAATTCCAAGTTCGATAAATCACCTTTTTCGCTTGTAAAGGTGTGAAAAATTGATATTTGGTTTCGATTATTTATTGCTCAGAAATTTTTCTTACCAATTTTATTCAAAAATGTTATTTTCCAGGTTTCCTGACTGTTGTTTTTTTTTTGATTACTTGCGCTTAATTTGATATGACAGCGTAAACAGTTTTTTCGTCTCGCTGCCAATAATTGACAGGTAGACACGCTTCTAATAAAAAGAAGAGAGATTATTTTGTTTTGTTAAACGATTTTTGTGTTAGTTTTTAGTTTTATAGTTTAGTTAGATTTTCTGTGTATTCTTACTTTTAAAATTTTTTCAAAAGTAAAATTTTGATAATTCGCTTTGGAAAGGTGGAAGATTTTCAGTGCGGCGTCGCTACTAAGGTCTAGTACCGGTCAAACAGAAATATAAAAGATATACAAAAAGTCGGTTTTCAGTTAATTTCGAACATTTTCAAAAGTCTAGAGCTCGTTAAATGACTTTTTTAGTTTTTCGGTTAGGTTTTCAGTAAATTATTTATATCCAAATTCTGTTACGAATAGTGTCTAGAAAAGTTGAAATCTCTGGCTGAAAAATACAGTAGCAGTCAAAATACATATATTAAAAAAACGTATTTTCCAATTGATCTTCGATCATTTTTACCATTTTCACGAGCTCAGCTGTCAATGCTCCGATCAGTTTGAAAACTCCGGAAGTTGTAAAAAAAAAACCTAGATTGAAAAATTTACATTCACCGAATTTTTCGAAAATTATTCCTAGTTTTTCCGCTATTCGCCGATTTTTGAATTACGCCTATTTTTGCCACGTTTTTGTACTAAAAACGTGAAAAATCAGGTGTCTTTCACAAATAAGCATATAGCTGAAAAACTAGAAAATTTCAAAAAATTCTGTTTATGTAAAGTTTCCATTCTCGGTCTGTTTTACACCCTCTGAAGTTCACAAAGTGATTCGACACTTGACCGCCGAGTTCTAGATTACGAAAGTGCCGGATATCAACTAAAAATCACCTTTTCGCATATCTTGTTGACCAGTATTATATGTGAATCGAGTACTGTGAAGATACTGTTGCCTTAAAACAACGTCACCCACTCAAAAAATCTTCCATTATCTGGCTCCCAAAACCTTCGAAAATCCTCCTCTCTACTTTTTAAAATTTTTGATTTCATTTATCCTTAGTTCCTACTAACATCCCATTTTTCTTTTCATACCGGTATCTTCCCATTCAATCTTTCACCCCCGAAAACAAGACCTCCCGATACGACAAACGTTCTCATCTGTGAGGTAAATTATTATTCTTTCTATCTATTTGTTTTTTCATGCAACACAAATTTACCCCCTTTCCTCACAACAGAATTAATTGCCACGATGCACAAATGTGGTAAACAGTTTTTTGTATCTGTTGACATACCATTCACTTTTTTGAATGTTTAAGAATTTTCAGTTTGTAGGAAAAAACAAAAAAATAACGAGCAAGACAAACAAATTAATTGAGAGCTCTACAGCGAAAAAACTCATATGTCATGTCATTTTCTCATTTTTCCTCATATGATATGTTTCCTCCTCCTCAATTTTCAATTTCTTTCTCTCATTCAAAACACGGCTTTTTACGTTTTTTGTCACTCATTCTTTTAGAGTTCAAAAAAAGTTTTCTAAAAAGGTAGTACAGAATTCCAGCCAACCTTTTCTTGCAGTTTTCTTCTTGATAAATGTTCTCATGCACTTCGTCTTGCACTCTACACGTTTTTTGTTGTCTGAGCCGTCTTTTCTAGTACCAATTTTCTTTCGTACTAGTCATTTTTGTTTTGTTCTGAAAGTAGTAATTTCTTGAGTGAGTCACAAAAGAGACAACTAAACTCATTGAAAAAATTCCAGTTTCATTAGAGGCCATATTCGTGAAAGTTTTTCTCGGAAAACCATTTGTTCTCCTAAAATCAACTGGTTTGTTTTCCAAAAGAAGAATGTAAGGTAAGCGATAAAATGTTTTCGGAGATTTTTTGAATCTCAAAAATTCCGAATTTCGAAATGTTGAATTTTCGGAATACTGCATTTGTTCACAAATTCAATGTCAACTCTGCAAGGAAATTTTCTGTGTGCGCCTTTGACATACCGTAATCCGAAATTTCTCATTTCGAGAAAAAGTTTCGGAAACATTCCGGAAATGGTTGGAAAGAAAGTTTTCGGATTTATTGGTTCCGTTTCGAACATCTTTGCTCAAAAACAGTACAATCAAAAAATTTCATTTTTGGCACATTTCTTAGAATATCAAGATACCGTAAACACTCTGATAGAGCGCCATCCGGACCATCCACTGTGAGCCTATATGTCTCACTTCATTTAAAAGATATCAAAAAGTTGTCAACTAATAAAATGTTTATCTTGATATCAGCAACATTTTATTAGTTGACCATTTTTTATATCTGTCACAGAAAATGAGATACATAGGCTCAATTTTGTCAGTTCGGGTGGCGTTCTATTAGAGTGTTTACACATATCTAGCCATGACACCTTTAAAAATTTGATTATAAATTACAAAGTAATGCATTTTTTTCTCCGGGGAAAATGGTAATGAATCTGCCTCCGAATTTCACAAATTACATTGTCGACCCACTCCACATTTTTCATTAGAATTTCTTGCTTTCCAGAAACATTCACAGATAAAATGTTATATAATGATGGTGTTGGCTCCAAACTTTCGTATACCTCCATGTCACCTGAGATAGGAGGGGTTGCCGAATACAATTTCACGCCCTCATCTCGCTTGTCAGTTGGCTCTATGTATTCTGACCCAAACACCCCCACAGATTTGAACTCACCGAATATCCTGGACAACGGTTGGCTTGACCTTCGTAAAAATTCTTTTAACGGTAATCCTAGGCAAAACTCATGAAAAATATAATCTAAAGTTTCAGATTTCTCCCTGGGAAACTTTGCTAATCCAAACTTTGCACCAATCCAAGGTTAGTTATATTTTTATTTATCTTTCATACGGAGCAAGATAGGTTTATTTTAAGTTCAAAGATAATAGACCCTTTTATGACAGGTTGTACGGTACTTATTGAAAAATATTATGCCCCACTGTTTTATATCTATCCAAAATTTTGTGTTTCCAGTTGCTTCGGTGTCTGTACTCATGTGATTGTTTTTCTGACCGGGTGTTTTGTTTTCATGAGCCACTTTCTCAACAAAAACCTCGAAAACATAGTCCACTTGGGGATTCCAAGCAGACAAATAATTTTTTGCATACACCCGTTTTTGATCAGTTTATCGTTCAGTGTCAACTGGTGCATTCGATTTCGCTCCGATGAACCCGACAACGGAGTCTAGTCAGTTTATGATGGGTGGTACTCCTACGCATTATTCGAAACCTCATGCGTTTCTGAGCGTTGATCAACTTCTTACAACAAGCCACAATAATGTGATGCTTGAAAAGCTCCAAGGTCTCGGATCAAATATGCAATCACCGTTGCAACTTGTACAGAGCTGGGACCTTTTCAAAATTCCTAAAGTTGAGTTGGAAGCTGTCAAAGAAGAAATCAGTGATACACAAGCAACGAATTTGGAATCTTCTGGCGCTTCATTCAATGTGCTGAACCAAAATCTTCCACTTCCTCTATTCAATTCCCCAGCTCAGACTTCGGAGTTTTCAAAAATCATGGAATCATTGAGCACAAAATTATTTCCAACTGACGTATCTCAGTCTTTCATCAAATATGAGCCAGATCAAGTGGTTCCTACTGATGTCAAGCCATCAATCATTAATCAGAAAACCCCACGTTACAGTAAGAATGTGAGTTTGTTATTAGATAAAAAATCTAGCATTAACCTTTTGGTTTTGTTTTCAGGGACGTCTTATTGGTCGTCCACCAGGCACATACAAATTTGCCAAACAAACAAAAAGTATAAATAATGAGAATGGCGAAGTTAGAGTTTGTGAGTGGAATGGTTGCAAAGCACAATTTACAGATGAATTGGTGAGTTTGCTAGAAAATTAATATTCACAGTTTTGGCCAATAGTTTTGGCCAATAGTTTTGGCCAGTGGATTTGCGGCCATTTTGAGCATTTTCAAGAGTCTATAGCTCGGACGTCAAGTTTCCAATCAGCTTGAAAAATTTGAAAAGTTTCTGAACAGGCCTAGGTTAATACTTTACAGAATTTTTCTGAAGATTCCCAGATTTTCGGCTATTCGCAGTTTTTCCGTTTTTGAACTGAAAACGTGGTAAATTAAGTGTCCATCGAAATTCGGCAAATTTCTGAAAAAACTAGGAATTTTCAAAAAATTCCGTGAAAACAAAATATTAAGGTCTGTTTTACACCCTCCAAAGTTTTCAAAGTTGTCGAAAACTTGACAGCCGAGATCGAAACTTTTGATAGTGCTCAAAACGACTGAAAATCAATGTTTACTGTACAGTGATATAATTTCAGCTGTTCCACGCACATGTTAGGACCCATATGAGTGAGTCGGATATGACTGCGCAACACTGCAAATGGGATGGCTGTCTGGAAACAAAGCCATTTCAATTCTACCTTTTGCTGGCACATGTGAGGAAGCACACTAGAGAGAAGCCCTACGAATGCAATGTAAGCGTCGGAACTAGCTGCTAATTATTCAAAGAAAAATGTACTTTCAGTTTCCTGTATGTGACAAAAGATACAGTCGGAAGGAAAATCTCAAAACTCATTTTCGCACTCACACCGGAGAAAAACCCTATTCTTGTAGTCTCTGTGGAAAGCAGTTTACTAATGCTTCTGACTGCGCGAAACACGTTAACAGAACTCATTCGGATGAGGTAAAGTCAACTTTGAACCCACATATCTCTTATTCTGTGATAGATATCAAAAAGCAGTCAACTGATAAAATATTTATCATAATATCAGAAGTGTTTTAGAAATTAGCACATTTTTTATATCAATCACAAGAAGCGAGATAAATTTATTCAAAGTGATAACATTAATTTTTTAGAAACCATACGTATGCATGGGACCTGAATGCATAAAACGCTATACTGATCCGTCTTCATTGAGGAAACATTTCAAAAAGTGCCATGCAGAGTTCATGGATGAGTTCCGTGCTGGGCGTTACCGTTTGAAACGGATCTCGCCTAACAACAACAAAGAAAATATTGCTAGAACGGTGAGATCTCGAGTCGCCATCTTCTGAAATGCCAGTTTTTTTGGAATAATTTTTATATCATTTTTTTAAAAATTTGAGCTCATTTGGCACTACTCACCTCTACTAATTGTTCATTTTTATGTTTCCTTTTTTTCAAGATAAAAAACCACTATCATGATCACAAGCCATCCACAACGCCACCAAAGATGTTCCCCATGACAAAATTACCGGCCACACTACCAGCCATCAACTCGCTTGCTTCACCACCGCTTTCTTTCCTGGATTTGACTTTGAAAACTGCGCATATCCTAAACACAACTGTGTCCGAAGCGTTCAAATGTGTAATTACGGATGAGACACTTCGTAAAGACTTTCTGGAGAAAGTATCTCAGCCACCGCTTTTATTAGAAATCCTATCTAGCAAAACGTTAACACTCTCCACCAAATATTCCAATGTTCCTGTAAGCTCTTCTTTCAACTACCCAATTCCATGTATCTCTGCTCTGAAAACAGAATAAGCTGACTGAGCTACTAAAACTAATTGGCAATTGTTTCAAGCTAATTCCACAGTTCAAACACCACTTTCTATTTTGCTAATCTTCCTTTTTTTTTAATATGTGTCTGGACTATGTTCTACACTTTTAGTTCATGAGTATTAGTTTGCAGGTTCTTTATATTTTCGCCATACTTTTTTCTTGCTAATTTATTTTTCGTCTTTATATTTTCTAGATTCAATGTTCTGTTCTTTTCCGTAAACATTTTTTGTTGCTTTCCCAGTTTTTCTCTTGTGTTCCTGTCCCTCTTCCTTGATCTTTTCGAATTCCACAAAATTGTTGGTTTTGTGTCCTTCACAAAATTTCATCTGGCCAAACCTTTGTCTTAATATTTTTTTTCCGATGAATGAAACAATAAACTCAGTTTACACCCAACGTTTCTACAAAATGCAACATTTGACGATAAGATCAGATATTTCGATTTTCGATGCTATTAACCCAAGTCCACACATGTCACCGGTGGTTGCAATTGGCAATCAATCTTTTTCACTCGACAACGTGTTGATGTATAGCCTTGAAGATCTGGGTGGCCGTCAATGTTTTAAAAGGGATTCCAAGTATAGGGGTCAAAATGTGGAAGCTTTGAAAACCGTGTTTCCTCAAATAGAAGCACAGGTTGAGCTGAATTATCTGGCTTTCCTTGAAAGACATCAAGAATTTGTCAGCTGATAAATGATTTTTCGTAAAATTACCAATATTTTACCTGCCGCCAAATTTTTTATAAATATTACAGAAATCGAGATAATTAACCTCAACGTTGACGGGTTGATTCGGTTTTGATTACATGAAATACGGTTTATAATGGGCAGATTACGACAGAAGTCCAAAGATAACTGCAATTTTGGTAAAATCCCATTCCTAGGTCTGGTCAAAGAAAAATATTGAACATGCCGAGACCCTGAGGTTTAAAAAACACAAACATACAGCAAAAAAAAACTACCAAATTCAGAGATTTTTCTCAGGCCCCTAATTTTCATTTGAAATGTTTGTAGAACATTTTCTTGGAAATACCGCATTTTTCTCAGTAATCGGCGCATTTAGTTTGATAGAACCCCATACAAAACTTCAACATTGAGTTCAATTATCTCAATTTTTGTGAAAGATATCAAAAATTTGTCAACTGCTGAATTATCCATCATAATATTAACAATAATTTAATAGTTGACAATTGTTTTATATCTTTCACAGGAATCAAAATAATTGGACTCAAAGTTGAGGACTCGAGTTTCTATCAAGGTATTTTTGCTGAAAAAAAAATGACTTGAAAGAACAGGGTTTCACATTTATTTTTTTTTTGCTGTTTCAAATGGAATTTCTGTTTACAGATTGCATCGACACATTAAGGCTGCTATTTAATTTCCAACTCATGAAAACTTTCAAACTGAAAAGCTAGAGCTGCTCGGCAAAGTCACTGTCACCCCCTGGTAGTGTTCATACAGAAAGACATAGGTTAGGGAAAATTTTCAAACTTTTTCAGTTTTCGTCATTCTCCGCCCATCAAAATTTTCAAAAAAAAGTTGAATAAATGTTCTCGAGATTAACCTCCCATGTGTTTCATTTTTTCTCATAGATTTCATATACAATATCATACAAAAGAAAAACCGTTCCGATGCGAGGTGAGTCTGGTTTTTGGGATAGTTTGATGTTAAACTGTAAATGTTCAGGAGCCTGGATGCGACAGAAGATTTTCTAGACGTTGCTATTTGTACAGCCACTTGAGAAGACATTCTAAGACTAAACCTTTTTCCTGTGATGTTTGTGGAGCTTCATTTGAAAGGTTCAAAAAGAAATCCACACATATGCACGAGGAACATCCAAAAGTGAGTTAATTTTCAAAGAGAAAGAGACAAAATGAGGTCCATTATGCAAACTTATTGCTTGCAGAAACCACTTCTTTGTACTGTTGTCGGCTGCGGAAAACGATTCAGGTGTATCAGGTACTTCGAGAAACATCTCCGAAATAGTCATGGTTTGGAACCATCCATTATCAAACAAAATCATTCTGAACAATTGACAGTGCAGGGAAAAGTAAGACCATAAACACAATTTTCTGAAATTTCTAGGATCACACTTGCAGAACACGGGTAACTGTACCCAACAACGCAGAAATTTTTGAAACAATACGGATCTATCCACCAAAACTCCATTAGCTTCGGATTGGCGTACATACGACAAATTATGATTTTGAGCAAAATAGAATATATAAAAAACGGCTTAAACTTATATTTATAATTCTCCTTTTTTGTTAGTGTGTTTATTTTTTATTTAATTCTTTTTCTTTTTTCTAATATGCATTTCATGGTATTTAATTCCTTTTCTGTGCTAGAATGTAATACATATTTTTCTCTATATCACACTTAACCGCTGATAATTATCTTGAAAATGATTAATTCTAAAAGTTGAGCAAGACTTTTCTTTGAACTTTTTTTCGGAAAATCGAATATTCCAGTTTTCTTCGACTTTATTTATAGAGAATCGGAGAATTTAGGAGTAGTAGGATGTCTCCGAAATTAGATAATAACGATCCGTCGGAAATTTTTTCCGAAAAAAGTGCGAATCTATATCTGCCAGAGAATTTATCTGAAGTTATCAACAAAAAAACAGAGATGAGCGGATATCCGATTTTCCGATTTTCCGACTCCGACCAAATAACAAACATGTAGCCGGCACTGTTGATGATCCGTTTTTGGTCGGATATTTATGATAATCACCATGAGAACTATACAATTGTTGAGTTTCTCCGATTTTATTGTCAACCACTTTTCTACTAAAGCTTCCTCAATATTTCAAGTTCAAGTAACAAAAGAGGTTATATTTTTAGACATTTGTCGGCCGAGAGACATTTTTCATCTCTCATGTAGGTATAACTAAAATAATTGGTACTCGGAGGACCAAATACATTTTTGATATCGTCGGATAGGGTAACATGATTTCATGCGTGAGGATTTTTTTTGTTTAGTTAATTTAAATTATTGATAAGAAATCCGTGAAAAACACAAATTTTTGACGCTTTATCAAATAAATACTAATGTTACTTTTCAAAACAATGAAATTCTCTTTTCTTAAATAAAATTTCGAAAAATATGTTCCCTACTTTCGCCTCCCAATCGCACATACTTCAAGGACATCTCCACGAGTTCAAAAAACAATCTGGGAGACCTCCAGACATTTTTCCCCGGACAGCTGTCTATCATTAGTCGGTGTCACATGTCTCTTTCGCATCACAGCTGCCCATCTGATAATTGGGAACGAACTTTTTGGAATTTGCTTTTCACAAAGTACAAGCTATCGGGTGCCAAGTGTCATTGTCAGAATGGAAATCAAAGATTAGGAAAAATCGAAATTCAAGAAAAAGAGAAGTGGAGAATGAGAAAATCACGTGATCTAGGCAAACAAATCCAATGTTAATTAGAGAAAATTTTTGCGTGCTGTATTATAGATAGAAACTTGACATGCACAGAACAAAAAATCCAACGTAATTAAGCATTTTCCAAGCAATTTTCTAGAATCCCATCCATTTTTCATCGTAGTGTAATCATTTCTCTCCTGCTACAACATGTATCAGGAATGTGTGAACACGAAGTTGCTAGCATGATACAAAACATCAATTTATTTGGTTTTATGAGAAACGGAAGCGTGCTGATTTGTTGCCTTTTTTTGCGTGACATTGTCAACTTTCAATAGGTTTCTTACATGGTTCTTCTTTGAATGCCAAGACCTGTAAAACATCTGACCTTGATTAGTTGAAAATTGAATTTACTGTCTTTTCTCTATGTCCAGCCAAGCCGTTAACTTTGAGCTCAATTATCTAAACTCCAGTGGAAGATATCAAAAATTGTTCAATTGATAGAATTTCGGTGTTATTAAGACAAATAATTTATCCGTCGACCAATTTTCGATTTCTTCCATAGAAACCGAGATAATTGAGCTCAAAGTCCACGTATAGAGTGGATTGCTTGCTCTAATGAAATCCCACCATTTACACGCACTTTGAGCTTAATTGTCTCGGTTCCTGGGAACAATAACAAAAATCTATCAACAAGTAACACACCCTTCACGTTAAATTCAAGCTCCACACACGAATTGTGAATTCTGCACCCCAAAATTGATTTGTTCCCTATTGTAACCCTTTAATTTTTGTTTTGCACAGTTTTTTATGAATTTCATTGCACGGTGTTTCATGACTAATAGAAAAGGGAAGACTTTTGCAATGTGCAAGATGACGATTTGATTCGCAGGGAAAATTACAAAAAAAGAGAGCGTGGGAGATTGAAAAACGGATACTGTAATAACACAAATAGAAGCCCACGATTTACATGCACTTTGAGATCAATGACCTCGGTTTTTGTGAAAGATATCAAAGATCTGTCAACTAATAAAATATTGGTAATATTATGATAAATAATTTATTAGTCGAAAAATTGTTAATATATCTCACAGGAATCTAATTGAGCCCAAAGTTGACGGCAAGGATGAAATCTTTTGGAGGAAATACGGTATGCTGATCACAAGACTTGTCTGAATTGAACCAGTAATCGCCGACGATTGAAAAATTTTGTAGAAATCCCTCGGGCCGGTCAAAAATCTAAATTTAGCATTTTCAGTTCCTTGTGTACACACATCACCCCATCCAGAGACAGTTTGAAATAACAACTGCCAATCAGAAGTACTTAAATTTTCAAATTCAATTTTTTATTGTCTCTAATCATTGTCTTTCCCCTACCTCCCTTCATTACTTTTAGTGATAAGAACTGATAATGCATTTTTATGTCTGTGTGAACGACATGCGGTAGACATACTACGCGTAAATTGGCAAATGTGTAAAACTATTTGATAGCGCAATAGTCTCAAACCCTCAAAATCACGCGATTGCGTTCTTTGAGCGGATTCCCAAAAGTTGTATGGCGGCAGAGTCTCTGAAGGTGTTCAATTATCCATAATGACGTGACACCGATAATCGTTTTATGTGGGTGTCTGAAGACAATATTGTGTGTGTGTGTGTTTGTGATTCCAAACTGGCGCCAAATGATCCGGAAGAAGTGTTTGGTTAAACTTTGCAGACGGAGAAAGGGAAAAAATTCAAATTTCCGCATACAAAGGGTATGAAGACGAGTTTCCGGACACGTGAGTCAGAACATATATTAAATCAGACTGTTCCGAAAAAGGTTAGAGGAAGTCTGAATGTAATTTTTCCTCTATATTCTTTTTCCATCAAAAATACATTTTCAGAGAGTTACAGATGTTCAAAAACATTTTTGTTTGTTTTTGGCCATTTTGACCATTTTCAGGAATCTGCAGCTCGACTGTAAAGCTGTTGATCACTTTGAAAATTTTATGGGGTGTAAAACAAACCTAGATTGAAAATTTTGCGTTCCGGGATATTTCGAAAATTCCTAGTTTTCCAGCTATTTTTGATTTCTAAAAGAAAACTTTTTCGCTGGTTTTTGAACTAAAAACTGGTAAAAATGGACCTTTTAGAAATTGGTAAATAGATGAAGAACTATTTCAAAAAATTCTATGAATGCAGAGTTATCAATCTATATCTGTTTTAAACCGATTAAAAATTTTAAAATGATCAGAAACTTTTAGATCGCGAGTTCACTTTATTGGGGGTAGCTGCTGATTACGATAGTGTCTTCAGATTTCCAAGAAACCGTAGTTAAAAAGTTACATACTGTTCCATTTTCAAAAAACCAACATTTCTAAGGACCTGTTGAACTTAAAGACAGAAAAATCTAATTTGAAGGGACAAAAATTATCCAGAACCATCCAGAGCCTCAAGTTTAGTACAGTTTAAGAATTATGGAAAGGTAGTGTGCCCTGTTCAGCCCTATTTGTACTAAAAATCGGAAAAAATCTCTTTTAGAAATCTACAAATATTTGGAAAACTAGAATATATCAAAAAATTCTGTGAATGCAAAGTTTTCAATTTGATTCTGTTTGACAACCTTTACATTTTCAAAGTGAACGGAGACTTGACAGTCTCTTGAAAATGGTCAAAATGGCCTAAAATCTACTGGATCTGTTTCTAGATGCATTACAGAACTAATCTGCTCTATCAACATTGTCTGGTCGCAAAATTCTGATAAAAAAAACCGTAGTTTCTTCGAGATCAAAAAACCACGGGACCTTTTTGACGACCTGTCAAAAGGGCACATGCCTCGCCCATCGCAACATCTCTCTTTTTCTCTCTCCGGCTGTCAACAAGACACTCAGGGTCGACGAACTCCTATTCGGCGGCAGAGAACAGTTTTTGTCTCTCGATTCCTCCCAATATCTGAACCAGGAACAACTCAACAGTTCTTATCAGCAACTCTTGTGACACCAACCATATGTTCAAAACATGTTTACCCTTTTTTAGAAGTTTATTCTTTTCTTTTAAAAATGAAAAATGAATCAAAATATAGAGTCAGAATGGTTTCAAAATATCCATGGATAGCTGAGTTGTGCGAGATAGTACGGGGGGGGGGGGGGGGGGGGGTGGAAAGAAGTGATGGATTGCTACAGAGAATGTGACTATACAGATTTCTAGGTCCCAAATATATATAGAAATTATATGTTTGCGTCTGATGACAGAGGATGGCGTACAGTTCCCATGCGCAGAAAAATAATACGAAAGAAATCCCAGACAATAAAAGGTGAGAAGCCGATTCCCCAGTTGGGAACCTCCCAAGAGATTATAATAATACAAATGGATTCGGGAGAGCGGTAAAGGCAAAAAGGTAAGGGCAAAAAATAGCGACGGGGGGTCAAATGTGGGTAGATTTAGTGAAGAGGGGTCATACAAAGCATATTGGAAAGGTATCAGAATACAATTGAGGAATAGAGTACAGAAGACAGAAAGCAGAGAGGTCAAAATGGTACGGGGAGAGCAGTAAACGGGGGTCAAAGGGATTAGTATAAAAAGAATATGTTGTCGGCAAAACGGTTGGGTGAGTTGATGAAAATGTTTCGGGTGATGTAGATGGTGTTGTAGATTTGACGGAAGGCGGCAGAAGAGCAAATACGAATGACGGTATCTGAAAAAGAGGATACTCAATCATGGGATAACGGATTGTTTACTGTAGCCCTTCTAAACGATTCTCACTATTTATCTACAGTATCTTTCTAAGGAAGTTCCCACCGCTATGCTAATATTACATAACCAGAATGTTCTTGCATAAACTACCTTAATTTGCATAATAAACCTCTCGAGTTACAGTACTAGTCAATAAGATCTAGTTGATTCTTGGCATTTTCACGTGTCTGTAGCTCAGCTGTATAGTTTCCAATCAATTTGAAAATTTCAGAGGATGTAAAACAGACCTAAATTGAAAACTTTGCATTCACAGAATTTTTGAATATTCCTAGTTTTTTAGTTATCTGCTGATTTCTGAGACAAACCTGTTTTTCACGTTTTCAGGGCTAAAACGGGCTAAAAAGAAGTCTCTTCTAGAAATCGACAAAAAAGGAATTATTTAAAAATTCTGTAAATTTGAAGTTATCAATCTAGGTCTGTTTTACACATTTTCAAAGTAATCGGAAACTGGAGCTCTAGACTCCCGAAAATGGTCAAAAAGGCCCAAAATCTACTCAAAAATACATTTTTGCAGATCTCATTGACCAGTACTGTATCTACAGTATTTACAGTATTCTTCTTAAGGAAATTCCCACCGCTATGCTAATATTATATAACCAACATATTCTTGCATAAAACTCCCACAATTTGCATAATAAGCCTCTTGAGTTACGCTATATCCTGAATTACGTCTCCTTCTGAGAACCCTGTTGTAATATGCACTCACCGGTGTTAGACAGAAAAGATAAATCGTTCAGTTGAGTACAAGATGGCGATTCGAGACGCGTCTGATCAGTTGTCGCAATTGGAGCTCGTTCTCAGCCAACAGCTGTTCGAAAACGTCTTCACTCATCTGGGCAATCTTCTCTGGCGTTATCTCGGAGGTCATTTCTTGTGTTTTTTGTTCGGCAACAGCTGGAGCGGCGGCGGTAGTGACGTCATCTTCTGGTTTGGCAATATCAGCTGGTTGGACCATACGGGAAGAAGTAGACGGAGCATCTTCAATCATGTATCCAGAGAATCCGTCTTGCAACATCATAAATACATCGTCCTCATCGTCATCGGTTTGCTGATTCTGCTCGATATCGTCCTCATCGTCACTGATGTCTTCCTGACGACGAAGGTTCCAGTGCCATTGCTCAACATATGAAGCGTGATCGTATCTGTTGGCATAGGCGATGTTGATCGGAGCTGACTGCATACGAGTCGACGATAGGGATGAAGATGAAGAATCGTGTACAATTGGACGGGCCATTATGACTTGATAGACTTGATGTGAGTAAGAAGTTGAAGAAAGAAGGGGACCCAAGCTGGAAAAATGGAAGAAAATAGAAAGTGTTTATGAATAAATAGATAACAAGAACAACGAAGAATCATATGAAGGGTGGCAGACAAGATAGCACGAGAAAAAAAGGTCACATGTCCTATGTTTCAGAGATCAAAATGGATCGAGAGAAGAATCGAGAAAAACATCATTAGTGACAGCAGTTCAAAAAAAAGTCAAAAAAATCTGATGGGGTTTGAAAAGGAAACAAAAAGCAGCGGCTGATAAGAACCGTGCCATATGGCACCTGCGACCCTGCAACCCCCAATGCTATTATCATTCAAAGGGCAACAGAGGAGAGGAAGAAGAAGAATTGTGCATACACATACACACTTACGTACTCGTGTACATAGAGAAGAGGAGGGGTCCTTCACCACCATCACCATCGCCACCACCGCCATCGAAAAAGTGGGTGTGGTGAGGGAGGGCAGGACCCGCACAATGACGAGCCAATTGTCAAGGACAAAAGCGAAACTGATCAGAAGGAAGAGTTTGGGATGAAAAAATGGGATGTCTGCGTCTCGCGTCAAAATTAGGAGAGGGAGACGGTTCTAACGGAGGCGAGGGAGGAGTGTCGAAAAAACTAAGAGTGAATGGGGGACACACAAAAAATGAGACTTGGGGGCGGAGTCTATTCAATAACACCACTCTCTATGGTTATCAGAAGGCATGGGGCGGGGCTTGGTTATCGAAAGGGAGATGGCTCTTTGATAATGGGAACAATAGAATTAAAAAATGTCTGGGAAGAGTGAAGAATCAGAAAATGGAAAATCGAACCTGAAAAACCGAAAATCGATCCTTAATTAATGGAAAATAAAACTGACAAATTGGAAAATAGAGTCTAAAAAAATAGAAAATCGAATCTAAAAAAGGAAAAATCGAATCCAAAAAATAGAAAATCGAACCTAAAATGATGGAATTTTTTTAATTTTTGGCAATGTTCCCTATTTTCAGAATTCTGGAGCTAGGCTATCTAGTTTCCGATCTCTTTGAAAGTTCTGGTGGGTGTGAAACATATCTAGATTGAAAACTTTGTACTTACCAAGTTTGTTGAAAATTCCTAGTTTTTCAGCTATTCGCCGATTTCTGAAGGACACTGATTTTTGGATTTTTTGTACTGAAAATGTGAAAATACACGTGTCTTTCAGAATAGGACAAATATCTGAAAAACTAGAAATTTTCGGAAATTCGGTTAATGCAAATTTTTCAATCTATGTCTGTTCTAGACCCTCTAAACTTGTCGAAGTGATTAGAAACTTGACAGAAGAGCTTCAGACTCCTGAAAATTACCGAAAAGCAACTGAAAAATGAGATTTTGTATATCTTATTGACCGGAACTGTAGATTATAGATAAAATAATTTGAAGGAATTCTAAACCTGGACAGATACAAAATTTCTCATTTTACGGGAATATCGAAGGAGACGTGTGATCGATGTGAGTCGCAAAAGAAGCCGTAAATCACTGGAGATGGGACGACATGGGTCGGGTCCGTTGATAGGAGTACAACATTGTGCGCTCTAGATGAAGGTGCCCTATTTTCTTCAGAATTGGTTGAAATAGAAGTTGAAAATCTTCACTTTCAGATACGATTTTAGTCAGACCTCTGTGGGCCGAAACGTAAAATAATAACTTAATGTTAATTGGTTCAAAGAATCTTAGAAATCGTCGGATAAGTTCTCAGGTCATCATAACTAACAAGCCAAGTGGCCAAAATTGAAACACTGCCCAACGTAATCCTTCTGGGAGAGTCATCAACTTCAAAGGAACACCTCTTCCCCCTTTTACTGTCTCTTACGTCAACACGTCTCATAGCTCATATCTTTTGAATGCGTCGGATTACGATAGTTTCCCCTTTTTCTAGAGAGACGCTTTGTCCCACCGCGATCTTCCGATTTTATCGGTCTGAACGGTTTGGCTGGGCCGCTTTTTTAACGACGCAGAAATCTGCATTTTGCAGATTTGTCTTAGATTTTCCGAGATAAGAAATATCTTTTTTCTAAGAAAGAGGAGAAAATGTGCAATCAGCAGAATGGGAAAGAAAAAGTGGGCAGTTGAAAAAACAGAATAGGTTTTTAATTCCAAAAAAAATGATAAAAGCAGACAACGAATTGAAAATTAGTCTAGGTCCGATTAGCAGTACACCTAAACTTTCTTAACCGACCCATTCTAGCAGAATAATATCCTTGCCAAAGCACAACACGTCACAAACATCTGAGAAAGCTGCCTACTTCAAAGAGGAGTTCTTAGGAAAACAAAGAGCGGAAAAACCAGTAAATGCGTTCTTATGAGTGGAGAAATTGGCAAACAGTTTTCTATGTACTAAGTTTGCACTTTTATGCCAAGTTCAGGTAATCGGACACCTAGTGGAAGTCAGCTGATATGACGTTTCATTTTTATAGAACTAAAACAAGGGAATGGAAACAATACAGATTCCTGGCTCAAAAAAAAATGAAGGGAGGGCCTCTGCTGCGAAATGGCGAGCGAGAGAGATGGGCGAATATTAAACGTCGATTCGTCGGAAATGATGTTTGCTTACTTTTCCAGGAAAACGATTTGTAAGTCAGTCTTCGATTCGGAAAAAAATGCAACACTGTGTTTTGGGAATCCTAAAATGATCATCTTCATTTCTCCAGCTACCACCACGACCTCCCCGCCTTCATAAGTTAAAACTCTCTCCTCCCATTTTTTGTGTGTGGCAACTATTTCGAAAAGTTTCGTATTTTTTCTCTCTCTCTCTCTCTCGGGCGAGACACGGAGAGAAGCAGAGATAAGCAGATAGGAGGGCGAGAGAGAAGGAAGACAGATTTTTTTGGGGCTGCTGCTGCATTTCTCGTCCTCTCGGTCAACAACCACACGCACACACATAACACATACATCTTTTTTTGCCTGTCTTCCAATACACGGGAGTAGTGAAACACAAATACAGGCGGAGGAGACCCCAGACGGGACACCCCTCCTTCAGTAACCGTCCGTTGTTTTTTTTTTCTTTTGGCAGAAAGAGAAAAAAAATTGGGAAGGAAGGGAAGAGTTGGCGAAAAATGGGGGAGACAAGTAATGGAAAATAAGATGAACAGTGAATTTTCGGATCATATTGATTTAAGAAACTTGAAAAAAAAAACAGAAACACATTCTTCAAACTCTTTGGAAGCTCTAAGAAGTGAACCAGCTCGAAAAGAAGAATCTTCAAACTTGAGATTAGCTCAGAACCTGGAAGCACTTACTTTATCAAGACGTTTCAAGTGTTTCAGCTTTTTGAAATTTTGAAAATAAAAAAAAAACAGTAGAAAAAACTCCTCCTACTACTAAACGTTAACAATCGCTGCCAATTTCAAATCAACTGTCACACCTAATTACTCAAATTGTACCTAATTACGGTGGGCTTTCGCAACATTTGAGGCTGCTTTCGTCTGTCAGTGATCGCGTTTTCAAATAAAAACATTCATAGGCAAAAAAACTATTGATAAGAAGAGCCTTAAACAATAAGAAGGGTTGGACGGCACGTCTTCATCTGGGTAATGGGTGAGAGATGAGTTGTATGCATAGGATCTTCAAGTATGCATAAGTCCTAGAATGACTACAATGGCGTATGGTCAGAATTGTCATGTATTCAGTTTACGAAAAGGAAATGTCCAGAAGAAGAGTATTTGAGGATTACTAAATGCAAATTTAGGATTAATTGAAAATCGAGTTATCAAACATCTGATATCGTATTTGCTTGAAGTGCACTTTGAGCTCAATTATCTCGGTTTCTGTAAGAGATATCAAAATTTTGTCAATTGATAAATTATTCATCATGATATTGTTAATGGTTTACCAGTTGACAGATTTTTTAAATCTCTCACAGGAACCGAGATAATTGAACTCAAAGTGCACGTAGAGGGTCAAGTCTTTTACAGAGCAAACCATCCACACTGTACGCGCACTTTGAGCTCAATTATTTAATTTTAATTTAAGAGCTCAATTATCTCGGTTTCTGTGGAGGATATCAAAACTTCATCAACTGATAAATTGTTCATCATGATATTATCCATTTTTTATCAATTGACAGATTTTTGATATCTCTTACCAAAGCCGAGATAGTCAAGCTCAAAGTGCGTTTATAAGGTGAGCTTTCATTGGAGCAAGAAATCCACCCTTTACATGAATTTTGAGCTAAATTATCTCGATTTCTATAAGAGTTATCAAAAATTTGTCAACTAATAAAATGATCATCATGATATCGCAAACATTTTATCGGTTGACAGATTTTTTATATCTCAAACAGGAATCGAGATAATTGAGCACAAAGTGCTCGTGAAGGGTGGGCTTCTATTGGGCTTTTATTTTCTATTGCACATACAGGATCCCTTTTTCAATGAGTCACTCACTATCTCTTTCCCCTCCTTTTCACATAATTTTCCTTGCAAATCAAATCGTTGCAAAAGCAAATGTCTTCCCTTTTCTATTATTCATGAAAAACTGTGCAACAAAAGTCATAAAAACTGCGCAAAACAAAAATTAGAGGGTACAACGGGGAATGAAGCAAGTTGAGGGTACAAAGTCCACAATTTGTGGGGGCCGCTCAGAATGGAAGTATAGGGTGGGCTTTTATCCGAGCAAGTACGGTAGTTATTTTACAAAAAGATAATTAATAGAATGAAAATTCAAGTTCTATATCTGGTAGAAAGCTACTTCTGAAAAAAATTGTGCTAGAAAAAATTGCTAAAATAGATTAAAATGGATTCAAGAATAATTTTCAAAGCAAACAAGTTTGAAAGCTGGTCTAGTTCGGATTACTCCCACGATTTTCAAAAAAAAACTGCCGTTTTTCAACTATTTGACCAGCTGTTGTAGGCAATAATCCAAGTGAGAGTAGCCTTGACAAAAAGTGATCTCTCTCGGCCGAATAAAATGAAAATTTTGAGTGCCAGCCGGGAGGTGAAATCTCTGA